GTTCGAGATATTTGTCGTATATGGTCAGATCACTGAATAAGGAATATGGTTAAGTAGGGGCAAGTTGATAAGGAGGTAGCTGAGGATGTTCACTGACTGATGTGATCGGGAGATGTGTTGCGTGTGACTGACTACCGTCTACGTCAGCACATGATGCTCTATAACATAGAAATAACTTGGAAGAAGTTAAATAAGGTCATAACAAGACATGACAGTCATATAGATCATATAATAGAAGAAATTAGTATAATAATATTGAAATTTACTTTATTCACAGTTTTTGTTTGTTCTTTTTTTGTTGATTTACTATGTGAGTGTAATTTCAAGCCACGTTTCTTTTTATTTTTAATTGAATTAGAATGATGTAAATTTGATTGAGAAACTATGTCCATTGAATCAGTAGTATTAGTAGTAGTACACTTTAATTGTTTCTGCTCTTTCTTCTTAATTTTCTGTTTTGATTTATTATTATTATTATTGAGAATATTTTCATGTGTATTCGATGAAATAGTAACTCCAGTAATAGAACTAGTAACTATCTCATTGTTTACGCAGTTATTATTAGTAGTCTGTTGTAAATCCATAGAATTTAACACATTCAATGATGAGTTCTTTTCCATTGATTGATTATATAATGAATCTTGAATGGTGTTTAATGTTTTAGATGAAGTATCTAAAATATTAAGTTGGTTTACTTTTTCTACTTTTTGTTCTTCTACTTCTTCAACTTTTTCTTTGTCTTTTCTACCTTTTTTATGCTTTTTTGATCGAGATAATCCTTTAAAACTGGATTTTGTTAATTTCGATGATTTTTGACTTGGATTAGAAGACATTTCGATTTGAACTGAAGCATGAAAATGAAGATTAAACAAATCAATAAATATGATTTTAATACAAAGTATATAAGTATCAGAGAGAGAATTCATTATCGAAATAACGGTAAGATGTCTTATTTACTTATGAAACATCTTCTTAAGCGAAGATGTAGTCAACATAGTTGAGAGCCGAATATACTGGTCTATTGTAGTGTAAACCGATCATAGTGCAAGTATAAGTCAATCATTCTGAATAACTTATTGAGTTGGTAATTTTCTGATCAAGTAGGTGAACTAGTGAAGTATCAAGTCAGTGGTAAAGGTAATGCACTTAACATCAAGTCTGAATTTTCTTGAGTGTATATACACAGATGACGAATCTTATACATGAATGAGATAACTATCCTCAAACTGGAATCAATTAAGTGAGAATCAAAAATAAAGGATATATGTATTTACTAATGATGAAGAACAAATCTAGATATATCAGCTTCAATATCTGCATTCGCCACACAAAAATCTTTTCTTAGTTAGTGTTGAACATTACACATCCAGTATTAGGACAATCTATTGTATAATTAACATCTGAGAACAAGTTGCAAAAATACACAAATTTTCTTTGATCGGTTTCAACTACAATAATATTTTTAAAGAAATTTTCGTAGAAAGTTCAAATGGAGTCTAGTTTTATTCATGCATTGATGACAACAGGAGAATCAATAGGGGGCACTGAAAAGATGTTTCATTTTAGGCTTGAACTTCTTAGTAGTGTACCAAAGTTATCTTATACACAAGATAAGATCTAAGACTTTCAAATCTCGGTGGCTCACGTGTCTAACATGACAGAATTCATGACAGATCGCAAGATTATCATCAATAATCTTGCATTTATTCGGTAACTTAGATACTACAAATGAACAGTTAATTGTACACATAGGAAGCATGGAAAAATGAATACAAAACTTATCATGATTTCGGACTTGATAGAGATCATTGGCTTTATATGCAAGTAATTTACTAAGTGATTTAGGTTAGATTATATCTAATAACGAAAAAGGAACAATAAATGTATTAGTGTATAAAAACACTAGTTTTGAGATGTATCAAACAGTTTCAACAATCATTACAATGATGTTGATTTATTTTCAAGTTATTAAAATGGTCATTTGACAGTCTTATGTACCTAGATGCAACATCTTGATCAGAACTCTCTAGATCCTTAATTAACCACAATTTTTACAACAAACAAATGTGAATAATTAACATACATATTATTCAGCTTCGATTAAGAGTCTTATCTATCGATTGACAGATATTATTGTGTCCCTTATGCATTATGTTAGCATTGATCATTTGTATAATACACTAACAATACACTACAATAACACTTGTGATCTATGTCGTTTTAATATTCATTCATATTTGGCACCTGCAGTGTTGAGAACCCCTGTTCGATAACAACACCTTACATTTGAAAAAGTTGAAAGAAGTTTTGGAAATTTTGAGATGTGTTTAGGAAACTCTGGATGCAAATTGACTTCATGGGACTAATTATCATTTGGATACTGAGGCTCGATAAATTGTTGAAAAGTCAAAAACAAAACAAATAATAATTCTTATTATTACGAAGCTGAATGTAATTTAGGGGAAGCAAAAAGTTTTAACAAAGGTCATCTGATACACTAAAATTAGAAGGGAATTGATTAAAATTAGTACAGTTTTTGAGTTGGATGATTTATCTAATCAATATCCTTTTTCCGTGGATAAAGATTATCATAATGTTGGAGTTAGGTATTAAGAATTGGATGGCGATATGATTAACATAAATTTGAGGGCAATTTTCAATATTGCTAGATGTTGAAAAGTAGTTTTTTTTCTTAGTTTCGAAACTTTTAACCATTAAATACTCATGAATTCGCATGAAGGATGAAAACCTTAACCTTGAGATCTAGAAAAAGACAAGTATAATATCATCCAGATAATAGTCAATCGGAATTGAAGGATTCGTACGAGCTAGTGGAGATTTGTAGCTTAAGTGGAATTTTCTTCTCTGGGCTAGATGGTTTAGTCGTAATGATTACACTGTTCTTCTGCATAATATCATTAGTATAAACTTCTGGTAAAAGTGAAGTATTTGAAATTCTTCACACACGACTGACCTTGTCCTGTCGACCTCGACTGGCTATTTTGGACACACATTAGACTGGGAAAATGTTGAAATATTGGATAGTGAGAATATTAAAGACATCAAGGAATCTTTAAAAGTTTGCATTCAGGTCAGTCAGCAATCAACAAACACATCGAAATCAATCAGGAAAATCATGGACTAATGTAGGATCAAGAATAAAGTAGACACTGACATCTTAAAGCTCAACGATAACCAACTAAGATTGAGATAGACAGGACAAGGTGAGTCATATGTAGAGAATTTTGAATACTTCACTTCTACCAGAAGTTTATACTGATGATATTGCTCAGAAGAACGAGGAAAACACCACGACCGAACGATTCAGTCCAGAGAACAAAACTCCACTTAAATGTTGTTGCTTATACTGAATGTTGTTTATCATTACTACCATCACTATATCTACTATTCTATATTTTTTTTCTTAATAATTTCATCTCGATATGCTATAGAGATAACTTGATATGATGGGTTCTAAGTTGATCATAACCGACTGGCTGACTGACTATAATTTCAAAATGAACAAATTAAGATTATTATCATAGAAAGCCAACAAACTAACCACCATACAACAAAATATATCAATCATACAAATGATATTAAAAACAGTAATATCAATAAACTAATTATGAAAATTTTATGTATTTAACAAAAAATATATATGTATATGTGTGCTATTTCGACATTGGAAAAAGAGGGGTGGGGGTGGGAAAAAAAACAACCGAAAGAGCACAAATAATGAGTGAAGAAAGGGAATTTTAGAAAAGAAACACTATTAGCTGATGAAAGAGAGAATGAAATGAAAAATATTTTCCAAACTAAACTTTTAAAAAAAATAGATGAAATAGGAAAAAAACAAGAAAGAAAGAAAGAAAAACGAGAAATCTGAAAACTATGATCATTTGATGTTACCATAGAGATTACTTTCTACTTAATGTTTACACATACCAACAATTAGATTAAAATTACTTCAGCACAATTAATTTTGATGTTTATTAACTGTAAGAATATATGAGTATGTCTATAGAAGAGATTGAAAGAAGATAGGTAAGGGAAGGAAAAGATATCAAAAGAATACCTTACAGAAACATAATAATTCGAAACGGATCTTACCAAACAAAGCAAAAAAATATATAAATGATGAATAGTTGATGAAAAATAACAAACAGAGAAATAGTAACCTTCGTCGTTCTTTTTTTCTCTCTCTTTAAGAGTAAATATTACATAACAGTATGATAAGGTAAGTTGTATTGATAAAGGGAAGGGGAGAGGAAGTTATTACAATGAGAAATATAAATATAACAAATAAACTAGGACAGAATAAAACAAGTTTACAAGACAAAATGATGAATATAGAGAAGAAGAAGAAGAATGGGAACAAGAAGAGGGAATAGAGATAACGAATCCTAGGTTTTACGCACTTCATCAGTAGAACACATATACACTAATTTAACCATTTAATTAAAAAAAAAAAAACTATGCAAAAAAGGATGAATAGTCACCGATAAATAGACAAATAGGAAAAGGAAGAATGCAAAAATTTTGAATAAAATCAATCACTATTGGTTCATTAAGATAAGCGCATTTGTAGGCGCACAAGACGAGACTTTTCTTTCACTAGATGAAATGGAAAAAGAAAAGAGTCCTTTGAAATTTTACAGAAAACAAACGATCTCTGTAGTATGAAAGATCGTCACTTCATTAATTCCAAAAAAATAGTGTATAACAAGACTCTCTGTGAATAATTATGTATAAATATAAATTCAAGAAAGATAGATAGTTGAATGACTTGATAAGATAAAGGGGGGTAGGAGGGTTGGGGTTAGCTGACACCGTTGACATGCCAATCCAAACAGTGCTGAGTGATGAAAGCATTCACATTATGACAAATGACAAGATAATGAAGTGATATTTCTACTGTCAACGGTGATGATGACGATGATTTAAAAAAAAGGAGCTTGTTGATGAACATTTCTTCTTCTTATGTGTTGTGATTAGTTTTAATATAGACCGAATTGTAAATTTGAAGGTGTAATCAAATCAGATGATGTACTGGAGGCCAATTGATGACTAATCCATAACTGATTAATACGTTCATATTCAGATTCCACAAGAAATAGAGGATTTCCACGGCTGAAGATTTTTTTAAGAAACAAAATAAAATGATAAAGAAAAGATGTGAAATAACATGAAAAAAACTGTTCTGTTCATTTGCACTACTTGTACAGTCTAGTTTACGTAAGGTGAGTAAGCATTAAACTACGTTCTAATTCAATTACTCTATTTCACGTAATTCAGTCTAATCAATCGGATAGTGTTACTAATCCTGATACACGAAAAACTAAGTACATAGACAAGTAGTATCCGCTGAATTTACTTGGACTTTCCTACATGATCAGTAACTATATTACTAGTTTAGTATTTTCTTGTGATTGACTAACATTATAACGTGTAACATCATATCAACTCATAGTATGATTGATAAAAAGATTTTGCAATTCGAACAGTAGTGTTTAGTTGCAAAAGGAACTCAGAGTTACTGTCACTTAAATTAACTATTTCATCATAAAAAGAAAAATGGTAATGTATCCAATGAGTATTACAATTGAGTAGTATAACTATCTAAATGTTAAATGACTAAATACAGTTATATTAACTTTTGAAAATTAGTAGAATAAAATGCTTATTGTTTTCTTGATTCAATAAGTTTTTCTTAGTACAATAAAATAACTTCATAGAATGACTGTGCGTTTTGTATTGTTTATTTGAATACAGATACATCCAGCTAACGAGCCCGAAATAGAATGAATCACACGCCTGAATTCCACTGCTAGCCACCATCTATCTTTGCTTATAGAATGTATGTCGTTTCAATCCTTTATTTCTTTAGTGATTACATCTATTTATGGAGTAAAATTTATGCTCAGATATAAACAGTTTAATGTGTTTTAACAAAAGTACAATTATGATTTGTCACTGGTAGTAATAACAATAATATATAGATAAAGAAAAAACACTGAGAAAGTGAATTGTAACAGATAAGAACAAAAAATAAACAAACTACCGTAAATCAGGATCAGTTTCACCAAAAGAATCTCGATATGGTGCAGGCATCTCAGTAATTCGTCTGGCTTGATCCGACAATAAAATTACACGACATGAATGAATACGCAGTAAGAGACTATAGCCGGAATGACAACGTCTAGAATGAGCTTGCATACGGTAGACAGCAAACTCTTGATTATTATTATTATTATTATTACTACTGCTACTACTGTTATTATTGTTCGAAATTATTGTTGTACTTGTACCACTACCAAATATACTTGAATCAGTTTTTTGTTCAAATTGTCGACAACCATAACAGAATAAACAAGCCAAATGTCCACAAACAAGACATAAACTCAAATCACTATGTGTATGACCTTCTGCGTGGCAGCTATAACAAAAAAATAAGACAATTTTAAATAGGGAAAATAATTTCCAAATAATCATGTTCGACAATTTAATTTGCAAATAAATAAATAAGTTTGTAGTAGAGATACGATTAATGAATGAATTGACCGATAAACTATGTACATTGATAAGTAATTAGTCAGTCAGCAGTAACAACGTAGAACTTCGTACGTACGTACGTACGTACATCAGTTCGACTTGCCATACCACACTAGCACACAGATACAATTGTCGATTCAAATCCCGTGGTGGTAGAGGTAGTAAGAGCATAAGCATGCCCTTGTTTGGATAAGAAAAAGAAATGTAGATATATCTACGATTTATGTACATGATACTTTGATTCGACAACTCAACCTTCCAACTGATTTCAAACTTCTCATCTGCATTGAGAGTTTGTTATATCTTTCGGGTTGTATATCGTAACCTAGTCGAACTGCTGAAAACAAGATACATACTTAGGCGGTCTATGCTCCCCCACGAGGGTTAAAAAGCTTAAGTAATTAAGTAGGTAATTAATAAAAGAGAATAAAAACTTTTTTGTAAAAATCAAAACCTACTCCATATCTGTAGCCAATAACAGCAAATTAGTGTATTCTTTTGGTAATTGAATTAAATTTGGTAAATGTGCATTTGGATAAGGGATTAAATCATGTATTATTGATAATGTATTGTTTGTTTTGTCGTTGTTTACATAACGATTGTATAATGATTGATAAATTTGACGACTTAATGACTGACGACCAGTTAAACACCAACTTGTTATTAAACGTGCTAACCATAATGATTCGGATAACAAAGAAATATGCAATAATTTCTCAGGTTGAATAAAATTCAACGAGTTTGTCGACGATGATGATGACGATGACATTGGTGCTGTTGTGTTTGATGGTGATACATTGAACGAGTTGGATTCAGGTGATGTTAACAAGATTAACAAATCACTAGGCGTTAATGGTAAGCCTAAGTAGGCTAACAATAGACTATGTTCATTCATAGTATCTGGGAAGAAAGAAATGAGAAAAAAAAGAGATTGAACCAAATGAAAAAGTAAATACAGAAAGGTGATCACTAAGCAATGAATAACAACATATCGATGGAGTTCCTTAGTGTTAATCAAATTCTATCGATCAAGTTGTAGTAGTCTGAGTGACCCAATAGCTCAGTGCAAGTTTGAATAACTCTATATCAACGTCTAAAACTGAAGAAGTGTGACTCAGGTTCAAATTCCATAGAAAGTATCACTTCACCTAAGAATATAGAAACATAGGCCTTTCTGAAGTGTGCAAACTAACACAAAATCTAAGTTCAAATTATCCCTACTATCTACCCTAAAAACCACTATCAAAAAGGAAAATAACTACTGAATAATTCTAGTATGTTACATTATCATAATCGTGAATTGACACTAACTTAATTCGAAGACAAATTTCGTATTACGATTGATATTATACCTTCTTGATTTTCATCAATAAGTTATATAACAAAATAATGAGAAACTAGTCGAAAATATAAAGAAAAATAAGCTCGACGAAGATTTCTATTTCTGGTGAATTCATTTCTAGAGCTATACAATGGCAAAAATACAGTTATTCGGAGAAAAAAAAACGAAAATCAGTAGTGTATATGTTAGTAACAATAAAAAAAAACTTATCAGTATGGGGGTTGTGGAGATTGTTAAGTTTTTGGTTGAGATCATGAATCAATTGATGTTAGACCACCATTGGAAACCTGGAAGCACTGGACGGCCGTTTCGTGCTAGTATGGGACTCCTCAACAGTGCGCATCCACGATCCCGCACCCCGCGGGATTCGAACCCAAGACCTACTGGCCTCGCGCCTGAGCACTTAACCATTAGACCACTGAGCCGGCATCCAATGGTGTTAGTGTCTAACATCAACCAATCCACGAAATTGCGCGACCAACTTCCATTGTACTGAGGTAGATACCTGTCTCAACCAAAAACTTAACAATCTCCACAACCTCCATACTGATAATTAACATGTCCTCACTAGTGACTAGCTTCGTGAGGGAATTCTCGGAGTTCTAGTGAGAAGTCGTGATCAGTGGAGCTAATCCGTGTTGGGTAGAGACAGGTATCTACCTCAATACAATGGAAGTTGGTCGCGCAATTTCGTGGATTGGTTGATGTTAGACACTAACGCCATTGGATGCCGGCTCAGTGGTCTAATGGTTAAGTGCTCAGGCGCGAAGCCAGTAGGTCCTGGGTTCGAATCCCGCGGGGTGCGGGGTCGTGGATGCGCACTGCTGAGGAGTCCCATACTAGCACGAAACGGCCGTCCAGTGCTTCCAGGTTTCCAACGGTGGTCTAACATCAATCGGTTCATGATCTCAACCAAAAAAAACTTGCTAAACATGGTAAATCACAAGTTAAATAAACAGAAAGTTTAAGTGTTATTCCTTTTACGAAATTGAAAACATAATTATTAATCGTTTCAATATTCATTAAAGTAGATCAAGATGAATGATTGTGTGTGAGAGAAAGAAAATGAGCAACGCGATAAGTTAAAATGTTGAAGTTGAGATTAGATGTAATCAGAAAGAGGAGTATAGATGAAGACAAAAGAATGATAATAATGGCTTTAGAAATCGATAGGACGAAGTAGAAGCTTTTGTTCCAAGATTAGTTTATGAACAGAAAACAAAAGGTAAATTCAAAATAAGTTTTATGAATCTAGAAACGTTAAGAAAAGATAAAACACAAAGTTGATAATCAATTTAATATTTAACAAATCAGATTATGATTTCTAAACTTTCCCCATATGCCCTGGTACGGCAGACAGTGGAGAGAATCAGATCTCTCTGATGAAAGGCTCTCACATGGCCACGCATATACATCCACTCCCAGAGAAGCCCTACTCACTGCCTTCTCGTGGCACTACTGTTGTTTACGAAATTGAGAGGACGAAAAGTGAATGTCCGGTGCTTTAACCGTGTTGGTGGACATGGAAAGTCCACCTAGGGAAGTTGGAAAACCCTGATTCCAAACCAGTGGTGCACATGGGCTCCAGTATCCTGATGGAACAAATGGCGTATGAACCAATCGTTGGTCACCGGCTACCATGGGACTGCATCTCCTCACGATGCTCCATTGCATTGTGGATTAGACCTTTAGGTCGAAGGCTCGGGGTGTGGCCCCCTATACTGCACCAAAAATATAATATTGAATAAAGCTGATGATAATAATAATAAAACCATCCGCTTCAGTCTGGGCACCCGAGCAGTATCACAGCCCTCACAAAAATCGAATGAGATTTGTGTGGAGCATATGTATCTGGTGCCCCCTTGTACCAATATTTATGTGTTCAAATAAATAAATAAAAAGCACAAGTTAATGATAATTAAAATAACCTATAGTTTCAGTGAATAAAAATAATGAGAATCCAGAGAAGAAAATTTTTTCGTGACGACGAAATTATCTACTAAAGCTGTACATTCGTATTTGTAGTTGTATGTTAAATATATAAATCCGCCTAGAACCCCTTAGGGCTACTGCTGGTTCCCAGCCCGGATAAAGGAGGAGGGTTGGGTATGGAGTTGGCGACCTCATCCAGAAGAAAACGAACTCGCTAAAAAAACGCTAACCAGAAAAATGTTAAATATATGAGTCTATAGAAGGATAGAAAGGATTTCATCAGTAAGGGATTCAAGATTCTCATTATCAAACAAGGTTACGTAACAACCCAACGGTTACAGAAGAATAGATGAATGAGGATAATTTACCGCTCAGAATTATGTAAGAAAATTGTCCGCTTGACAGATATGGAGAAAAACAAAAACGGAAAGGTCATAATGATAAAAACTGAATAATAATAGTAACTGATTACGGTTTAAAACTATAACATACTAATTTATACGAATATTCGTCAAGATTAGAACGAATAGTTTGACAGTAATTGAGCGCCGAGTATAGAGAAGTCATTATATGTGAAAATTATATTTGAAATATTCTCAGCGATTGAAATTTAACTAATTCCAACGTTTCGTCCAGCTAGCTTGTCTGGACTTCTTGATTATTACCCTGAAGAAGTCCAGACAAGCTAGCTGGACGAAACGTTGGAATTAGTTAAATTTCAATCGCTGAGAATATTTCAAATATAATTTTCACATATTATAACATACTAATTTTAAAAAAAAAACCCAAAACATACTACAGAAGGGAATTAGGACTAAGGAAGGATGAGAGGTTGGACACCAAGTTCGAATTAAAAAGGATTCTAGGCACATGTTCTGATTCTGTAGAATTTTTCAACAGTCTTACATGTCGCGTGAAAGTGAATTCTCTATGGTAACTAACTACTGAATCAATAGAGAACATTATGTTTGTGGAAAAATAAACAACCTGAATGAAAGAAGATAAGTTAATAAAAACAAAGTATTAGGTAACTACCTACCTGAACTAGTATTTGCTAATGAACTGGTTGACTGATGCAAATCACTTGGCACATCGACACCTGTAATTTTATGTATAACAAAAGCAGCAATACGTAGAAATGGTAGACAATTAGCACGTAAAAATAAACCTAACGATTGAGCCATAATTTGCGGATCATGATTTTCATCATTAATAGAAAATGATGAATTCATTGTAGAAAGACCGGAAAGATCACGTAGTAAACGCCATACTTCGATCAACTTGATAAAACGAAACAATAAAAAATAATATCATACAACCAATACTGAAAAACTCAGAAATATAATACACACAATATGTAAAACCACAACACTGAAAAACCCTAAATTTTCTAAAGAGTAACGAAATGAAAGCATGACCGATGTAAATGCTTGAAATAACGTGCAAGATATGGCACAGATGTGGGTTGGTACGAAATTTGCTACATTTCAGACAAGTAGAAGTATTACCAACTGCGGTAAGAAGTTAGGGTTCGAACTAAGTACACCAACAGAAAATAAGAAAGGATAACAAGTTCAATATTCAAAAGACTATCAGAAAGGAATGGAACTGTGGCATACTTTACGTCAGATTGTCTCAAATTACCCGGTGTACATTACAACTACCCCTCAGATATCAACCTGGAAGTATGGACATACTACCTTGTAAAGTCAAGGATCTTTCCTTCATCTTAAAATGTTCTTACGCGACGGCAACGTTTTTACTCCCACCCAGAAAAGTCCCACTCACTTATTTTAAAGGTGTATCCACAATATAGATGAGGGAGAGAGCAAAATCCTGTCACCTAAACCAGATTTGTACAGACAAAAGATTCAACTAGAGGAGTTGAAAAACGATTATTCCACATCTGAAGAGAATGAATGACATACAAACCTACTTTGGTTACTGGTTACTATGATAATGAATAGCTACCTTGAAGATCTACCACTTTAAATCAAAGGGTTGGCGTTTGGTCGCCTGAAAAAAGCTACCTACCTTGATTTGAACACCCAAACAGTATCCCAGATCACATACAATTAGAGTAAAATCAAATTTTATTTATTTTTGAGAAAACTGAAATAATACTAGTAACGATAATAATTCACTAACCTGAGGTGTATTCCAATGAGCTGATTTTGTATAAGCATCATTCCATGTACACGAATCCGGTATAAGTTTATGCTTTTTTAGATAATTTAAACAATTCATATTAGGATTCCATGCTAGTAATGTTTGTACTAACAATGCTGTATAACATAAACGTAATAAATGTGATTCATGACTATCACCAATTGGCTGACGTATTCTTCCTTCATCACAAGCCAATAAATGAGCACCCAATGAAGCTGCACCAGATTCAAATGTGATATCAGCATCAGCTTCACTGGCTAAACGTGTACATTGACAATCATGCACACTGAATTCTTCAAGACCTGGACGTAAATGTAACAGGCTGATAAACAACGATGTGATATCCACCTAGAAACAAAAAAACAACAGAAAATATTTCATATATTTGAATAGTTTTGGATAATTTTTGTTAAAAAACAACAACAAAGATGAATACTTTGAGTGTTACAGTGGATTGATTTTAGCATTTTAGTAAAGCTTCATAATGCCTTCTCAAGCTGGCCTACCATTCAGGGACGAGTTAAGGATAAACTTCCGCTTTCGCCCCATCAGTCCATATCTATAACTTTACTTGTCCCACAAAGCGATCACTTTCCAAACGCATCTCAAAATATTACCCGGAGTGTGTGGAATGAATTATTTGAATAAAGATAAGTTACATACTTGATAAATTTTAAAAAATGAAAATATTGCCTAGACGAACGATGACGTTAAGGATATAGTGATACGAAAAATTTAAGTTTAGAAGAGAGCAACTTACATCCCAAAGAAGACTGATAGTGGACTGACTGTTCACAGATGAGGAATATGAAGAATGCATTTTAGACATAGGAGACATTGAATTATGTTGACTTATTTGTTGTTGTGAAGAAGAATCACCAGCTGATATGCTAGGATTACCAATGGCGTAATTTTCCAATGGTGGAAGTAATAAACGCCACAGGAAACGAGCATCTTCTGTTGCTGCAACACACACAGCTGATTCAGCTACGTCCAATATAGTTGGTGGATTATTTAAACGACAACCGTTTGGAACTGAAATGTTTTGAAACGAACAAAATAAGGTGTTATAGTAAAATTTCTTAAAGAGAAGAATCGTGCATAATGTAATGTGTATTGCGTTGAAATTTGAGCCTAGTCAGTTGTTTGAAAAGAAAGGAACTGAGCGAGCTTGTTGATGTTCAAGTCGAGACGTTCGTGTATTGGGATAGTTGTGTGAGTGCTAGTAGCGGTGATGTGACTGGTAAGATCAATCTATACAAGGTGAAAGCCAGAGAGGTATATGCCGATTTCGGTTGTATTTTGTGTCGTCATGATGTTGATCGGATTGTAGAAGGTCGAGTCTACAACGTGTCGACGAGAGAATCTTGGTTTTATAATTCCAAATACTGGTCTTTCCAAGTTGAGAGGTAGTCCGTCCATAAAATAGTGTCGTGGTATAAAAGAAAGCTGTATAGGAGCAGCATCTATCTATGCACAGAGTGTCTCCGGTCCCAGTCCCAGAGATAGTGCAACTTAATGGTTTGATATGCTATCAGACATGGCTCCAAAAAAGTCAGTGGTGATTCTACAGTCCTTTTTAATTACATATTCTTTTTAATTGAAAATGAAAGAAACTACCTAAGCTAGAAGTCTTCCGTGATTGTATTTTCAACTGAACAGTATCGCCTGTTGCATGCTATTTTTGCAATATCACCCCTTTATTTTATGTGTGTCTTACATTTACAGTTGTAGCAGGATATGTGTGAATTAAATAAATAAAATCAAAAAATGGAATCGATTTAAGTAACTATTTTTTGACTGATACAAAGTGTGACAACTTGTTCTGATGTAGACTTTATCGAGTTTCGAGTTACTGAATGACGTGAAGCTTATGGATAGAAAACTGCACAACCTTGTCAGCCTCAGCTTTTAAATCGTATCCACTGGTGTGACATATAATACTGAAAAAACGATGAGGCTAATTGCCTAATAATAACAGTTAGAAATATAAAAAAACTATGTTCAGCACTACGCACAGTTCAATGCCAAAACGTTTACTTGCACTTCAATTAAAAATCTACTAATTAGGTATTAGTGAAGAGGTAAATTCAGTCTCTTCATTTGTCCACACCGATCCATTTCTCGTCAGTTTACTTATATCAGAGATTAATGCTATATAACGTCGAATATGAATGTACTACATAGAATCGCTCAGTTGAAAAAAATACAAATCCACTTACTATCTTTTAGTTGTGATTTTGGTACAACATCAAATGGAACACAATAAGACCACCACCACCAATGAATAGGGTGAGTTCTCAATTGTGACCAACAATATCGATGTCCTGATGTCTTACAATCACTTGCATTGCATGACAATGAACAGCCACGTGAAACAACAGCATGACGAGAATGTGCTGCGAATGAAGCTCTTAACAAATGTCCAAGTCCATGAATTCGTCGTTCTGCCAAGCCACCATTAAAGAAATGCTCGTGACAACCACGTAACCTTAAAGTCTAGAAAAGTTAGCAATATGAAAATCAAGAACTAGTCATATCAAATATGTAAAAACATCGTAGCAACCAAAAAAAACACCGAGATGGTTTGACTTACTTACTTACGCCTGTTACTCCCAATGGAGCATAGGCCGCTGACCAGCATTCTCCAACCCACTCTGTCCTGGGCCTTCTTTTCTAGTTCCATCCAATTCTTGTTCATTTTTCTCATGTCTATTTCCATTTCTCGGCGTAATGTGTTCTTTGGTCTTCCTCTTCTCCTTTGGCCTTGAGGATTCCATGTGAGGGCTTGTCTTGTGACGCAGTTGGGTGCTTTCCTCAATGTGTGTCCTATCCACTTCCAGCGCTTCTTCCTGATTTCTTCCTCCGCTGGGATCTGGTTTGTTCTCTCCCACAGTACGTTGTTGCTAATAGTGTCCGGCCAACGGATCTGAAGTATTTTGCGTAGACAACTGTTAATAAACACCTGTATTTTCTGGATGATGGCTTTCGTAGTTCTCCAGGTTTCTGCCCCATACAGTAGAACTGTCTTGACATTTGTATTGAAAATCCTGACCTTGGTGTTGGTTGACAGTTGCTTTGAATTCCAGATGTTCCTCAGTTGTAAATATGCTGCTCTTGCTTTGCCGATCCGCGCCTTCACATCTGCATCAGATCCACCCTGTTCATCAATGATGCTGCCCAAATATGTAAAGGTTTTTACATCTTCCAAATCTTCTCCGTCAATTGTGATTGGATTGGTGCATGCTGTGTTGTATCGGAGAATCCTGCTTTTCCCTTTGTGTATATTGAGACCTACTGCTGCTGAGGCTGCTGCCACACTGGTCGTCTTCTCCTGCATTTGTTGTTGCGTTTGGGATAGAAGGGCCAGATCATCTGCGAAGTCTAGATCGTCCAACTGCATCCTAGATGTCCATTGTATCCCGTGCTTCCCTTCAGACGTTGACGTCTTCATGATCCAGTCGATCACCAGGAGAAAGAGAAAGGGTGAGAGTAAGCAACCTTGCCTGACACCACCTTTACCTCGAACGAGTTTGTCAACTGTCCTCCATGCACAATTTTGCAGTTAATCCATCATAGGAATTCCGTATGATATTGACTATCTTCTGAGGCACGCCGTAGTGTCGAAGAAGTTTCCATAGTGTTGTTCTGTCCACGCTATCAAATGCCTTTTCGTAGTCAATGAAGTTGATGTAGAGTGATGAATTCCATTCAATTGATTGTTCCACAATGATCCGTAGAGTTGCGATTTGGTCTGTACACGATCTATCCTTACGGAATCCTGCCTGTTGGTCACGAAGTTGGGCGTCTACGCAGTCCTTCATCCTGTTTAACAATACCCTGTTGAAGACTTTTCCCGGTATTGAGAGAAGAGTGATGCCCCTGTAGTTATCACAGTTGCTGAGATCGCCTTTCTTCGGTATTTTGATCAGAAGTCCTTCTTTCCAGTCTTTTGGTACTTGTTCCTCATCCCAAATCTTATTGAAGAGAATGTGGAGTATCCTTGCAGTTGCCGCTACGTCTGCTTTTAGTGCCTCTGCTGGGATGTTGTCCGGTCCTGCTGCTTTGCCACTCTTGATTTGTCTGATGGCCATGCTGATTTCTTCAATTGTTGGTGGGCCAACATTGATTGGGAGGTCCGTGGGTGCTGCTTCGATGTTGGGTGGGTTCAGTGGGGCTGGTCGATTCAAGAGTTCTTTGAAGTGTTCTACCCACCTGTTTTGTTGCTCTTCAATGTTGGTGATTACCTTGCCTTCCTTGCTTTTCACTGGTCGTTCTGGTTTGCGGCGATTTCCAGAGAGTTTCTTTGTCGTGTCATACAGTTGTCTCATGTTTCCTTCTCTTGCAGCCTTTTCCGCCGTCGTTGCTAAATCTTCCACATATTTACGTTTGTCGGTTCTGATGCTCCTCTTCACTTGTTTGTTTACTTCTGTGTATTCAGCTTGTGCCTTGGCTTTTTCTGCTCTTGTTCGACTGGTATTGATTGCTGCCTTCTTGTTCCTCCTTTCTTGAATCTTATCCAGTGTATCAACAGTGATCCATTCCTTGTGATGGTGCTTCTTGTGACCCAGGACCTCATGACATGTTGAAGTGATTGCCTCTTTGATCCCCTTCCAGTTGCTCTCCACAGTAGTTCCTTCTCCATTGAGTAGATCATGAAAGGCCTGGAACTTGTTGCTGAGGACTATCTTGAATTTGTTGAGTTTGTTAGTATCCTGAAGAAAGGCCGTATTGAACTTTTGTGATATTGTCCGCCCCGTTGTCCAGTGCTTCTTGAGTTTTTTAAAGCCGGACATAATAAACTGCTAGGACATAGCATCAGTTCGTGACTATCGGTACAACCAGTGTGTCAGGAAATTTCAGGTCGGACAGAAAAAGATTCATGGATTCTGTTTAGGAACAGCTTAAATGAAATAAATGAAAATCAGTTTCTTTGTCAAAAAATACACTGATTGTTCAAAAGAAAAAACTTCTTCCGAGTATTCACCACAGTATTATTCATTACTTTTCGAACTTCATTCTCTATGTAAGTATCAGGTTTAAAAATCGTTTAACCTATTTCAATCTGAGACTAGCACTAGCCTATAAACACCAGCTGCAAACACTAAACCTAAAAACAGCGTAAATAAAAATCTACTAGGTATATGATAAGTGAACAAAACATTTGATCTACTACTTATAATATTAGAGAAAATACAATTCAATTAAATGAAGAAAAGAGGAATGAATAAATGGAAATAATCATATTTTTATGTGTATACTGCTGTTAATCAAAATAAGGAATCCATAGAACAGATATCTACAAAGAATAAGATGGACAGATTAATAAATAAGTATAAATAACAAAAAGATAGGATTTGATGTGTTTATATATTGTCTCTACAAGTTGTTATGCGCACTATATGATCAGCAAAACAAAACGATGTGAAACAAGAAGAAGAACGAACAAATTAAGATAATAGAACTATAAATGAGAATCTGTACACAGAGAATATCAGTCAGTCAAGTAATTTAGAAATCCATCAACAAATCTAGACCAATAGGAAGGTAAAAGAAATAGTATTAGCAGTAGCGGTGGCAATATTAGTGATAGTAAAAAAATTATGTGTAGAGAATACACTATACAAGATTGCTTACACGTTCGGACCCAATCAATGTATACGCCACACTATGTCTCAATGATCTCCATTCACAAGCAGCTGACCAAATTACATTACGAGCGCGTTGCGCAACACGTTCCAGATAATGTTTAGCAGAATTATGAGAATTGACAATAATTTTATGATTAATATCTTCTGTAGTTTTGGTTACACGATCAGATATTTGAGGTTTGGTAGAGTTTGATAGTCCCACTGTTGGTGTTACTGGATACGATATAATAGTTGTAGTATGTGGTATAGATGAGCCGAGTGTACGTAAACGTTCATAGAAACTCATAAAATCTAAATGAAAACGTTCAATCGCTTCGGAAAGACTTAAATTGGCATCGAATGGAACAGTTTGTGATAATTGTCTAACAGGAGAGTGATTAGATGTGGTTGATATTGCTGAACTACTATTAAAAGCAGTAGAAGTAGTGGCTGGATTATATTCTGTTTGTGTAACCAGCACTTGAATATTTGAACCAGGCACTGTAGGTGCATTATTGTCAGTTGGATATAAATTGACTTGAATTTCTGTATCAGCGACAACAAACGCTACAACTTGATCATCGTCTTCTTCATTAATTTCATTTGGTAGAGAAAGAATTGTTGGTCCATTATTAACTAGCAACATTGATGATATAATAGCAAACAATATAAATAACTTATAAATCTAAACAAAATGACTATGTGCAAGGCGAAAATTTGTGGTAACACATTTGAATTAATTTTATAAATATAATGGCTCATGAGGTCGGATGTCATGAACTCACACTTAAGTCACATACTTTTGTCTAATTGCTACTGGTGACTATTCAACTGGTGATACTGAGTTTACACGTGAAGCAGGGTTTAAATCTGTTATCATAGAATTATTTCAATCGCTCAAAACCCATGACTAACAATCGACTATACTAACTAAACTACTGAACGACAAATGTTCTTTTACCGATTGGAATATTATCTAAAAGTCAAAAGTAATACTGGTCATAAGAGGGATAAATGATATGTTTATCATTAATCACATAAACTGATATGAGTAGTAGTAGCAGTAATACCACTAAATTTATACACGATTAAGATTCATTTATAAAACAAGTAATTGACAGAATTGAACATTATGGACCATTCAATAACTCCATCAACATCAAATGAACATAGTTGCTTTTCTATATCACGTTTATTTACTCAGTCAGTTAGCTACAAGGTAGGACCAGGCACAGATATGCATTGGTTCAAGTTACCAAACCTCATTAGTACAGCAAAATGAACACCGAATTCATAAAAGTAGTTACTCTAATGGTAGTACTATATACCGGAAAGATCGCATATAAAGATATAGAACAAGAAATAATTAGTTAGTAGAAAGAAAGATATAAAGCAGTTTTAATCTCATAGTTTAAGGGAGGACAGAGAGTGTATACACCGACGCCATTGTGATCGATTCTGAGCCATATCACCCAGGGTCTCCAACCATTGTTTACGATAGTCACGCGGACCCCAATCAAGTAGTCTACATCTACCAACGTGGTCAAGACTATAAGTTAGTAGCTTCAATGACTGATGCCACGTTTTGGTTTGGCCGCCCCTAACTTTCTTCTAACCATCCCCAACACTAGATGTTTATTTGGTGACGGATCTATTTGAATATCCAGTGTTTCAGTTAAGAAGAAATCATAGAGGCTTCAATATAATTGGAAAAAGTGATACTAAGATTCCAATGGTGGCTGATACATTCACTTGGTGGTCGACTCTGGCCATTACGACGACAAAATCGAGCTATAGTTATTGAAGTACAGGCTACTTTAGGCTCTACATTACAAGACAAGTCAGTTGGAGAACAGTGTAGACTAAAAGCAGTAAACTAAAGTTTGAGTGCTACGTTGTATTACGATGTGAAGGAAGAAAGGTGTTTCCAAAGAAACCAGGATAAACAGCTATGCTGCATCCCCTCCCAAAAAAGAAATGAGTCGGAAAACGTCGCTTCTAAAAAAAAACAGCACACCTTACTCCACGGATTTCGGTCGTCGATAGTAAGGCTTTATAAGTATGGAGCGAACATATCAACAGCCACTCGCAAATAAGTTGTGAGTCATTGGGCTTAAAGAGTTTTTTTAACCCTGAGCTATAGGGTTATGCTCTCAGGTTGCTAAGATTACTATTATTCCACTTTCTTTATTAATCTTAAGAATAAGTATCTTTCCACGATGCGGACAACCGGGAAGTGACAACCATCTACAAACCGATAATAAAACTTGGCATCATCTCTAACTGACTGATGGGTAAGTATTATAAGACACTTTAAGTAGGTAATTAAACTATCATATGAAAATTAGAGATTACGTTCCCCATCAATTCAATTCAATTCAACTAGGTTACATGACAAAGTGTAAAGATTAGTCATCTAAAGTCAGTGTAAGTATATGTAGCCTAATGAAGAATAGTAGCATAAGGCTCAATGTATTCTACGATTATCAATTATAAAGGTTACATATTCAAACAACTGGTCATATATTTCGATTTGACCAACCGTCCGGATAATGTGTGTGTGTGTGATTGAAATATGAATATATAAACTTGTACATTGATATGATTAATAGTCTAGTAAAGGAATACATAAACGGAAAAGTAGTCAGTAATTTCCTATTATTCTTAAGCACTGATTGAATTTTTATCGATTAGGTTCGGGCTAGAACGAAATCAGAAAGTAAAGCTATCAGTCACATCACCAAGATCACCAAGCGCTTTTCCATTATAAAAATGTAATATCACTAGTGAACTTACCAACTACCTCAGCAGCAGCAGCAGCAGCGCGTCGACCACTTGGACGTTGTACAAGTGTATCCAGTGATTTCGGTTGACATAAACTAGCCAATCGTTGGACTAGCGTAAATAAATTTGTGGAAACTAAAAGAGATGAAGATTGTGGCGGTAAAAGGTTCCTTAAAGTGTTTCCACTAACTTTAGCATTATTATTATTATTATTGCTTCTGGAATTAGATGAGTTCATCGTGGTATTGTCATTATCTGAAGTAGAACGTCTGGAAAAGCGTCTAGATGTCCAAAATTGTCGACTTAACGGATTTAAACTACTGCTTCCACTGCTACTAACTCCGCAATCAGTAGTTTTCGAAGTAACTTTTGAATTTTTCTTATTATTACCCGTTTCATTATTATAATTATCATTATCATTATCTTGGACAATTAAACTATATTTTATTCGTTTCACTATAGAGTTAATTAATTTTGAAGCAAGTTCATAGTTTTCACTGAATGCTAGAAGTTTTGCACTCGGTGGATTATTATCAATATCCATATCAACTGATAATGATGATGACGGTGATGATGTTGATGGAGAAGAAGTAGAAGGACAAGAATAATTTACACTTGTATCTGATGAGATAATATTTCCAAAATTCCAAAATGTATAATCTTCTAATGTTGAGTCTACAGTAGTTGACTGAGTTAGGGAAAAAAAGAAATAAAAGCCGGTTTACTTATTTTCTTTTAAAAAAAAAACATACAAAATGTACATGACTACTTAGAACTATTCTATTATTTGTCAAATATTTAACTTTATATCTAAAGCTTACGCGTGAACGTCCGAAAACAATCATGCTATGTTGATGAGTTTCTTAAAAATATACAGTATGGAATGTTATGGAACTTTAGCTGTCATTATGTAATTGTGGATATACACTTGAAATTGTGCAAATCACTAGAATGTATTATTTTATCAGATACCTATCAACCTCTTCATTTACATCCAAACCGAGATACAGATACAATGAAAATCATGGTGTTAGCGGAACATAGACTGGATTAAAACAAGCTCAATGCACAATTGCTTTGGTGCACGTTGATTGGCTAATTCTTAAACAATCAGCACTAGTCGATAGCTGGAGAATACTCTAGAATCTTCTCATGTAAAAACTATAAATATACTGACGTTTTTCCCTATTGTGCTTTTTACTTGCTTCTTACTTCTATCTAACCTTGTTATTTGGAATATAATCTCTTTCCTGTTCAACCGTGTTCTGATTTGGGAACTTGTCGAGTGATTGGTGTCCAAGAATATTAAGCAATAGGTATAGCTGGGTCATAACCGTAAGAAAAGAGTTTATAACACATGGATACAGGTAAAAACACAAAAATTCTGCCTTACAGTACCTATCACATCTACAATATAACGAAAAGATAATAAAAGCTGATCTAATATTAAAAAAACATTTATATTGTTAAACCAGTTGTGAATTCACAGTTGTACAAATTATTATTTTCAGAATTGGTTTTGTGGAGATTTTTAAAAATTTCACAGGTTGAAATCATGAGTCAATTGAAGCTAGACCACCATGGAAAACCTGGAAGCACTGGACGGCCGTTTCGTCCAAGTATGGGAATCCTCAGCAGTGGGTTGGTTGAAGTTAGACATTAACACCGTTGGATGCCGGCTCAATGGTCTAGTGGTTAACTGCTCGCGTGCGAAACCAGTAGATCCCCGGTTCGAATCCCGCAGGGTGCGGGATCGTGGATGCGCACTGCTGAGGAGTCCCATACTAGGACGAAACGGCCGTCCAGTGCTTCCAGGTTTTCCATGATGGTCTAGATTCAATTGACTCATGATTTAAACCTGTGAAATTTTTGTTTATTTATTTCATATACCTATGTGTGTAATTATACATTAATTTTTGTGATATGAGTAAAGTAAAAGTAACGTATTGGAATATTGAATGGCAAGAATTCCAAATTGTACTAAACATATAATACTGAACAAAACCATTATTATTATGACTAGTAGTCAAAAATAATTGGTCCAATCACCATTTAGTAGAGACTTTCCAGAGAGCTTAAAGTAGACAAAAGATTATGTTATATCCTGATTGGATACTTGCTGAGTTCGGCTTGTTTCCAGGAGCTTTTAAAATATAAAAGTCACACATAAACCTGTAAATATTCTTGGTTTCCCAACCCTAAACTAAACTTGGAATTGAGGCTGCTTTTTACAGAATCCACCGGAAGTTTTCCTTTAAGGTTCAAATGTAGGAGAGTTCCTAGCATCCCAGAAGCATCATTAAATGCATAAAACAGTATTGAGTTGATATTGTTGAAATGAACATTATAAGTGTCATCAAAGACCATTTTTCTACCACAGAGAACATTACGCTGACAGAAAATAAAAACAAAACAAACTCTCCAAGACAAACTATGGAATTTACAAAGTAATTAGTGCATTCATGATGAAACATACCGCATTTTGTAAACGATCAGCAATTGATGTAGATGGGAATAATGGACCCAAAATAAAATCATTTATATCTGACGACATATCTAACCAACGTGAAAGATTACGTAGCCAAGAACTTAATGGTTGAAAATTATTATTATTATTATCAGCAGTAATAGTAGAAGTATTAGTGTTGGTAACAGAAGCGACAGACCGGGATCGATTTAAATGTTCATCATTCGAAGATAATAATCTTGATTTTAACCATTCAATAGGAAGATCTAAATAAATTGGACCTAACATTGGTAAATCCAATGTAGATATACATTTACATAATGGACAACGAAATTCAAATACCACCATTGATGAATTACGACTGCTAAGAGAGAAAAATAAAAAGGAATATAATCGAAATATACAACAATCAAATGAGTAATATACCTCCACCTGAAGCTTATCCAGGGTTACTATAGGTCCTAAGACTCTATAAAGGAGTGTGTTTGAGCATGGTGTATCATTATCCCGCATAAATAAGCTCCTCACAAAAAGGCTTCCGAGGGAAATCAATCTAATAAAATATTCACAGGTGGTTCTTATCATGCACTTTGACATCACGAACAAGTATGCGAAGACAGTAGGAGAGATTAGAATTCCATTGACTTATGAAATATCTAATTAGGAATAGGATCCTGGAAGAGACATCCTATTTATGCCCCTAAATACTCTGGTAAGGCCGAGAGTGAGGAGAGTCAGCTCTCCCTATTGAAATGCTTCCATATGGACACGCGTATATAGCCTCTGTCAGGGAAGTCCTACTCAATTCCTTCTCGCGGCATTACTGTTGTTTACGAAATTGAGAGGATGAAAAGCGAATGTACGGTGCTCAGCTGGGTTGATGAACACGGAGAGTTCACCTAGGGCAGTTGGGAAACCCTGATTCCAAACAAATGGTGCACATGGGCTCAAGTATCCTGCGGGAACAAATGGCGTATGAACCAATTGTTGATGACTAGCTACCATGGGACTGAATCTCCCGCAGTTGCTCCACCGCATTGTGAATCAGACCTTTAGGTCAAAGGTTCTGGGTGTGGTCCCCCTAAGAAAACCACCTGCTTCGGCTTGGGCAACCAGGTAGTGTCACAGCCCTCACATAAATCAAATGAGATTTGTGTTGCGCATATGTATCTGGTGCCCCCTTGTGCTAAAATGTACGTATTCAAACAAATAAGAAATAAATTAGGAAATTTGTATTTATTAATCCTTAACAGGTTAATTGACATCTAACCACATTATACTTACTGTTGCATTCAATATATATATAGCTATTACGATGGGTAAGAATAAACAACTCATTTAAAGGGATATCTGTCAGTGAATCGACCGTGTGAACAGGTGGGCTATCCATCAGTCAGGTAAATCAAGTTGTTACATATCATCTATACATCAGTACTCTATTTGTTAACTCTATTAAAACCATCATTTTGAAACGTAAAGTGCAATTTTAAAGGCGAACTGGAATAGTCAGTTGAAAAAGTATAAAAACAACAACAGAAATTATTGAGAAAAACGATTTCAGTCGTTATTTGGAGCAAAAAATAAATATAATTTTGCTATTCAAATATTGGGAAATGAATACAGTCAGAAAATACCGTTATCTAGAGTTTACCTCTAGGAATTAAAAATTACAACAAGGATAAATAATTAAAAAGGGAAGTGGCTAATAGTTGAATTCAATACTTACGTTCCGTCCTATTTGGTACACATCAACTGGCGAGAGTGAATTGAATCCCAATGTTAATACTTATTGTGGCACTTGAACACAGTATGTTTAGTCTAAAATGTTTAACTTGTTATCCACTGAATTACTGAGTTCAAGTAGTCACCAATTTGTATAAGAGGAATGAATAATATTATTTATTTTTAGGTGTTTGGATCATCTCGCGTTATTAACTTTAAGAACTGAACTGTGATCAATTTCCCTGGACATGCATGTGTTTTGAACGGAATGCCTTGATATTTGTTATAACTTCATAAAATGATTACATATTGGATTTCCAGTTGGAGTTTACGGTGACAACTACTTACGGAACGACAAAGCTTATTCTAAAACGAACAGATTTTATGACTGACAAAATAGAATGACAACTGATATGCTAATATGAAATAGAGATGATGAGTCTTTTAAGATAGTTTCATATTTAAATAGAAGTCAAAAAATTGAAATAGAACAACTCAACTGATATAAAACGGACAATCACATTGAGAAAATGAGAATAGTAAAACTAACAACAGCAAAATCATTGAGAGGATATGGATTGAAAATTTTATCGAAATTATCCTTTAAATGACAAAAAAAAATAAACAACTTGAGCTCTCTTTAATGACATTACCATTCAAAATTGCTTCACATGTACAATATAGAGACTATCTAAACTAAAGTATTTATTGCTTTATCCTAAGATAGCAGCGTATTTATTTCAAAAATGGAGAAAATCCTTATGAACTTTAATTATTTCTTTTTTGAGAAAATAGTATAACCACCTCCTATCTACCTTTAGCCCCCCAAATGCCCTGGCATGGCCGAGAGCGGGGTGGGTTCGCCCTCCCTCTCGAAATACTCTCACACGGCCACGCGTATACAGCCTCTGCCAAGGAAGTTCTACTCACTGCCTTCTCGTGGCAGGGGTGTTGTTTACGAAAATGAGAGGATGAAAAACGAATGTCCGGCGCTTTCAAAATATCCCAAACCAAATCAATGGTGCACATGGGCTCCCGTATCCTGCGCGAACAAATGGCGTATGAACCAATTTTCGGTCACCGGTTACCATGGGACTGCATCTCCTTACGATGCTCCACTGCCTTGCGGGTTAGACCATTAGGTCAAACGCTCGGGGTGTGGCCTCCTAAGATAACCACCTGCTTCGATCTGGGTACCCGGGCAGTATCACAGCCCACAAACAAATGATGAACTTTCTATATATATGGAAACCACTTTTCTTGCTTCGACTAACAATCAAATGATCCAAATAATAATTATTATTTACTACGTCATTATTCACCCTCTTTTATTCCTACTCTGTTTATACTTATTTTTTCGACCTATACAGCAGCTCGACTTTGGTGGAAATTCGACTATCTAAACGTTCTCGAGTCACTATCCGGTTGAAAATTGTATGTCACCACCGAATATGAGTACTGAAGCAGTGTTTCTGAAACCACGTGCACCATTCAAACTGGCTGCCTTCCACGTTCGCACATTTATGCAGGTCGGACAACAGATAGGGATGGCTATGTCTTTGTAAAGTCTTAATATTGATGTTTGCTGTCTATCCGAGACCTGTATTCAAGACTCTGGTGAAGTACTACAAATTAGCTCTCCATCTGTCGATTCGAAAAGCTTGTTTTACGTGCGTTTATCCGGGGACCCTGTGGCATCTTCGTCTGGTCTTTCTGGCGTTGGTGTCGCACTAAGAGCTAGAGCTGAGGCAGCACTAATCGATTGGATCCCCATTAACAGTCGGTTACGTGCTGTTAGATTAGAAAGTTTCATCAAAGTGAGAAGAAATCGGCGTGAGAAACGATGTCTTTTCGTCATCTCCGCCTATGCTCCGACAGATTGTAGCCCGGATGCAATCAAGTATGAATTCTACCATCAATTATCTGTTCTTCTCCAGAAAGTGCGTTCGACAGATATTGTAGTACTAGCCGGAGACTTGAATGCTCAGGTCGGGCGTCTAGGCACAGAAGAGAGTCGTTTAGGTGGCCGATGGGGACTTGTTGGTCGCAGGTCAGATAACGGGGACCGTCTACTGCAACTATGCACAGACCACAACCTGTTTCTGGCTAGCACTAACTTTCGGCACAGTCATCGCCGATGTGCCACCTGGCGTACTCCCTCTGCATCCCAAGCCTGGACTCAGATTGATCACATCGCGATCAGCTACCGCTGGCGTGGTTGTGTACAAGACTGCCGCTTCTTTTGGAGTACCTATCTGGACTCTGACCATGCCTTGGTCTGTGTCAATCTTACCTTACTTTTCAGTGGACAACGAAGTGACCGCCACCAACGGATTGATGTTAGCAAGCTGGTTGCAACTTTTGTTACAGCAAGAAGTCTGGTATAAGCGAAACAATCTACGAGGATGACGAAAGGCCAATCACTAACATCCATCGTCGTCTTGGACGAAGGGCTTGGACGTGTTCTACGAATGTCGTCCCAGAGAATTCCACGTCGTGCATTATTTGCCGACTCTGGGACTGGTTGGAAAAAGCGGAGAGTTGGTCAGTATATGACATGGTGTCGTGGCATGAAAGAAAGCTGCAAAGGACTGGCTTGTGTTGGTCCTTCACGGCTCCCTGGCTGAGGTCCGAGATATGGTGCAACACAGTAGCTTGAGACGCTATCAGATATGGCTCAGAATAGAAGCCAGTGGCGATCCTGCTGTAACTTTCTATTACTTTCTTCATAAAAAAATGGTTGTATCTTCCCTAAGTGAAGGATTTATTCTGATTGTACCTTTCCGTTCCCCCATTATTACCACTTTTATTATTACACTACCTTACGCCAATCCCTTCCTTATTGTTCTTTTTCTTACTCTCCTTACCTTTTTTCTTTTTCCTTATCTTTAAATTCTCATTGTTTTGTGTGGTGCATATATATTTGGCGCACTCTTGTACCCCTATGTATATGTTCAAATAAATAAATCATAAACTGTCTACTCTACCTTTAGGAAGGAGGAGAACGTTGAAAGCTGATTGTCAGTTACTTCAGGTAAATAATGATGAATATATACACATAACTTTACACAACTCTCGCATGGTTAAATATGCCATTTAGCTTTATCAGAGATGGTTTCTGCTGACTCAAAAAGGGGGATTTCAAATATACAAGCTTTTCAGTCAACTTCAAAAGAAATTCAGCAAACAATCATAGAGTTAAAAATATAACTGAAAATTAAATTAAATTTATTCACGACTGGCTATCAAATACTCGAGTGAGTTATTACAATTTGAAGGTAAGTTGTTTTCGTTGGAGCAGTGGCTTAATGCACTAAAACAATGCATCTTCAATTAATCGATGGCACGTTTGAACAATCATACCTGCCTAAATCAGGTTTTTGCATGCATAATGTTCACACAACCAATGTGGCTCAAAATCAGATTATGTAAACCCAATTACGTAGAAAAATGAATTAAGCAGTTGACAACGAAATGTTGATGAATATGATCTATAAAAAAAAAAACACTTACCGATTTAGATGATCCACTCGACCTTTTATCTGTCTTGCATATTTTGTTTTACATGCAGCATGCATGGGATGTGAACAAAAAGTGAAAAATGATCCTTCCTCTGAAATTGGATCACGACTAGAAACTAAAGGTCGTGGATGCCAAGGATCTAATATAAATGAATGATTGATATCTTGATCTGATGATAGACCATAACTATCGAGTAACTGATCAATTAAGCCAGGACCAAGAGCATCTACAATAATTATGATTAATATTAATATTAAAAAAATCTAACTCATTGCACAATTATAATAAAGAGAACATTACACTTAAACAATATCAAATATCAAACCATTTTATACACTGATTATATTATTTACTTGTATTGACTCGAAATGTAGATGACTAATTGTTCAGATAAAATGCATAGATTTGTTGTATCACCTTAGTATGGATAAAATGTACGCACTATCCTTTACAAATATACTAACGTCACAACAGTACAAAGACGGGTTACATTGATATAAATTGCTTCAACGAACAATCAGAATTATTATCAACAAATAATATTGATCTAAACAATCCTACAGATCATAAAACAAAATTTACATACTTTTATTTGTGAAATCAATTGACATAGAAGTATCCTTTCGTAGCTCTAGACATCGTATACCAGATAATAATTCAGGAATAATTCGAAGCCCCATTCTTGAAGAACCGGCACATTTAGCCGCAGCTGTTGTCGATACTGATGCCAGAAAAGGAATAAGCTATAAACAAAAATAGAAGAGAGGCATGAATAATTAGAAATAAATGTAAAATGATATTGAAATAATAGTGATCTTCAACGAACAGTATCATACTGTTCGGGTGCTCAAACAGAAACAGGTGAATTTCTTAGACAAACATACCCGAAAACTTTGACCTACAGATCTAAACCACAAAGCAGTGAAAGAACGTTAGGAAACGCAATCTCATGGTAGCCAGTCACCAACAACTGGTTCGTACGCCCTCAGGATCCTGGAGCCAATATGTACCAATGGTTTGAAATCAGGGTTTCCCAACTCCCATAGGTGGATCCTCCATATCAACTAACCCGGTTAAATCGCCATACATTCGCTTTTTATCCTCTCAATTTCGTAAACAGCCGTAATGTCGCAGTGAGTAGGACTTCCTTAGCAGTAAATGTATACTCGTAGCCATGTGAGAGCATTTGGAAACGGAGAGCTGACCCTCTTTATACTCGTCCATACCCGAGAATTTGAGGGCTTTGTGGTCTGATCATCAATGTACATTATCAAATGAGTTTCGAATAAAGAATACAGAATTATGAACGCTTGTTATCATCGACTTCCCGTCACAACACTGATTAGAAGCGGTTTGTAAACCGATAGGGGTTAAAGTTTCCAGTAATGTATCACAGTCAATTAGCTATTCACCAAGGGTGCTTTGTGCTGTTAGTTAAACAGAAGATCGTTGGTCCGATTATCATAATGAAGATATAGTCAATAAATGGACCAATAGATTGTCAGTGGTTCCTATTATCCATAGGCCAGAGTTCACAACACAAACCATTTGATAACACGTTAGATAATGGCAATCAACAACATAAACACAAAGATACACCCAAATTTAATAAAAATAGCTGTAATAAATTATTAATAACCTGATTGTCATCATTATGAATTTTGTTAGCAGGAAATATTTTATCATAATGCACTGGATGGTTACCAACAACTGTTGAGGATTCGGAACCAATCATTTCATTTTCAACACATAAACGCTCAACGACAGACATTGTGACAGGACCTTCTAACCATCCAATACCACGTGAAGATAGTACAGAAGATCGGCAAACATGCGCAGCCATAACCATTCGATTCGATGCATGTTCTGTTACTTCTTCCTATTAGAAAAATGATAACAGCATCGAAATAATAATGATAATATGAAATGAATCTATGCTGCAGACTATCATAATAATTGACTATTATTAGCGAGTTTAAGGAGATTGTTAAATTTAAAGTTAAAAATTTAAAATGATGGGCGCCAAAACAGTATTTAAAGGACGAAACGTTTGTTGCTATATCCGAAACTCCTAGGTCAACCCTTCGAGGGGTTGGGAATGACCACTGCTAAGAAGACTCATACAAAGATGAAAAGGATATCTAATGCCTTTTGTCTTTTAAAGGTTATTTAACTAAAGATTAGGTCCAGTAATATGAGTGACACGGTAGTGAACGGGAACTCAGGTGAGAGGATCAATTTATCATTTAATGCAAAATCACACAGTGATTCAGTTAAATGTAAAAATCATACATTCAGTATAACATTTACACATCTTCCGTCGATTGTCTTATACAAATTTCATTGTTCATTCATTCCCGTCGTCTTCTGCTGCCAGGTATTTCACTTATGATTGATATTACAAACTAGTTATATCTGTCAACATAAGTAGTATACACTACAATATTACCAGTAAGCTGTTCATATGGAAATATGTCGAGATACTAAACTGTAATAAGTTGTAGTTGGAAGTCGAACACTTCAGTCAATGAAGCTATTGTTTCCTTCATCTTTAATTTAATAGAAATGAAAATTCGTCATCGAGAAACCATCACAGATTGTTTTAAAATTGGAAACTTTCAGTAAACAAATGAAAAAACTATTAGTAACCATGAAGAAGGTAATTAATTTATTTGTTATTCAAATGACGCTCTAGTGTTTAATACAAAAACGTGAAATAACTCTTTTAACTAATGAAATACAAGTTTACAGTATCTTTAATATATGGATGAACTTAAACAAGAAATTGAAAAGAAGATTAATCAGTATCGTAACAGTTACTAAGTAGAATTTTGATCTCACAAATCATTGATTATTGCTAATGTAGAATATTGAATATTATTTTCACTTTTCATTGAATTACAAATTTTCATATCTCTATTCACTCATTTCATGTGTTGGCATTTTCGATGAGGAGAAAATAATTAATGTGGATGCTTTGTATTGAAAAACAAGGAGTTTTTCAAAATAATTCAAAATATCTTTATGTTAAATGAATAGTTTGAAGAAGAAGAAGAAGAAGAAGAAGAAGAAGAAAGGCAATACATGAGTTTCAGAACAAAATTCATTCCAGCCGCCACTAGAAACCACATAAGAAACATTTTCATATTGCTAGTCAGTCAGTCAGTCAGTTACAACATACGGCCGGGGACATATTTGCATTGGTTCAAGATGCCATAACTCATTAGCACAACAAGATGAACACCGAATTCATAGAAGTATTTACTTCAATGTTAGTAATATATAAAAGAAAGACTGCATATTCACATATAATACAGAGAGAAAGAATGAGCTCGTAAAAAGAAAGGCATAAAGCAATTATTATCTCACGACTCCGAACCATGTCACCCAGAGTCTATAGTTTAACAATGACTGCGTTCTTCCGAAGAAAACAATAGGAAATTTACTCAATAGAGAGGTAGGACAAGAGAACTATGTAATCGAATTATACATATATAATAACATACCAAGCATAAATTACAAGTGACTAATTCATTATTTTGTAGACTTGAACTATCCATTCCTCGTGAAACTGATGAATCTGATATAATGAAAGCAGCACCACCTAAAGATCTTGTTGGACCAAGTGCACATTGTTGTACTACAGTTGAAATGATTGATTCAGGTTGTGTTATTGTTGACTGATTAACAGTATCGTTCATCACTTCAGGAGAATCAATATCCATTAATTCAGCCTTAAAAAAACATATGTATTAGTATAATAAAACAAACAATGAATTGTACAGTGGTGTTTCAAGATAGTCAACTTTGACACAGTTACAAATATAATTTCAAGTATTTAGTTTTATATGACAGCTAAGAAATAGTCTAATTATGCAATATAAAACAAATGATAAATTGGTTGCTTCAATGAAATTTGTACATTCAGCTACAGATGATACATATTACCACATTGAGTATAATCCGTAATGTTGATAAAATTTGTTAAGTGGTCATTCAACAAAACTACGATTCAACATCACAATGAATTTGCTTTTCTTATTACATAAGAATGTAAACAATAGGGAACTGAGATGATTTACACCTAACTAACATTCGTGTTAAATTTCCTACTAACATAACTAAGTGATACATACACACATTACTGATGTCAACCAAGGGAATACCGTAAATTAGGGTAGTGATAAAATGCAATATTTCTATTACTCTAAACACTTTCACTATTGTATTTTTATTATTTGAGTTTATATTAGCTAAATAGAACATAATCCCTAAAAATTGTGCTTGATTTAATATTGCTAAATAAAATATCAAGCAATATATAACTTCTTTAAATTCCTTAAAGAGTAACCATAACCTACGGAATTAACATGAAGTTAAGACGCAGGCAGAAACATTGAGATGTTCATCGGAATTCAATCGATCTATAGTGTCATTAATCCACTGTGTAATTGTCGAACAATATTGTATTTTCACAAAGTTCTAAATGTCTTAGGATCAAAAATTATGTAAAATGGAAGGTACACATCATTTCAGGATACCAAAACATACTTCATTTGTAGTTGCCTCATTCTGTGATAAGGAATCCATAAAATTTCTTTGCATGTTTGACATACGTGCCATAATTCGGGCACGTCGAGCTCGCGCTTTCTCTGCACGATCTTGTTTGACTAGTGCACTTGACAACTGATAAGATGAAGGTTCCTATAATAGTAAGCAGGGTGACATAGTTGATTTATTTTATTTTAAAAAAATAGAGATACTTTAGTACAATTAAAACAAATGTAATAAATAAACACCATAAATGATAATCCATTTATAGTAAACCGAAAATTCCCATTGAGATATCTAGTAAAAGGATAAATAGACGGAAGGAATACTTCTAAATTAGTTTTTCATCATAGCTCTACAATTGTATATATATCGATAGATAGATATGATGTGTCCTTGGTATACTTGGCTAGGACTCTAGAATCTCGTAACATTGATGTATGCTGTGTCACCGAAACACACATGCAGGATCCTTGTGTAGTCGTCATTAACTTGACGTCACCTCGCCAAAACGGAGAGCAGACGAGATACATCCTCTGTGTATCTGGCGACACGATGGCCAGTACTCGTGGACTGGCAGGTGAGGGCATAACACTAAGTATGAGGGCAGAACAAGCACTACTAGAATGGATTCCCGTTAACAGTCGTTTACGTGTTGTTTGCGTGAACGGCTCTGTAAGAACTCAGAAGGATAAGGACACATGTCGTTACCTTTTCGTCGTTTTTGCCTATGATCCCATTGACTGCAAATCGGATGAAATGAAAGATGACTTTTACAGAAAGATTTCTGAACTTATTCAAAAAGCTAAGCACTCAGACACAATACTCGTAGCAGGTGACTTCAACAACCAAGTAGGTAGCTTATACTAAACAGAAAGACATTTAGGTGGGTACCTTAGTATCCCGGTTCAGTAAACAGATAATGGTAATCGTTTGCTTATTTTATTTTCAACAGGCACTAATTTCAGGCATAAGGAGAGACATCATCTAACATGGTTAGCCTCTGCAACAAACCAACGATGGACTCAAATAGACCATGAAATTACAAGGAAATAATTCGTAACATTTTTATGAACAAATTACCTTCTTTACTTCACCAAATTCAGACGAAGGATTATGAACAAACTGTTGTTCACCTGTCATACTTTGTACAACTTTATTCCAATAATCCAAAGTCCATCTAAAATAATAAAGATGAAAAAAAATACATAAATCATGACTAGTAAATCCTATATTCAGATACGAATGGATATGTTAGGTGATTAAAGGTAATCAATAGGATTTCCGTTGTCGTTGTCATTCACTAAAAAAAGAAAATTTTGTGATTATCAATTCGAAAGTGACACGGTTAATGCACCAAGCTCTAGATAAACCCAAATTTGGTTACCACATAGTAACTAATTAATGTAATTTTCACTCTTCGAATAGCTAGAGACACTACAAATACTTATATCAGTCAGTCAGTCAGCTACAACGTAGGACCAGGCACATATGTGCATCGGTCCAGGTTGCCATACCTCATTAGCACAGCAAGATGAACACCGGATTCATAAAAGTAGTTAATTCAGAGGTGGTAATATATAGGAGGATTGCAATAAGGATATAGTATAGGAAGAAAGAATTAGTTCGTAGAAAGAAAGATATGAAGTGATTTTAATCTCTTAGTTTAAGGGAAGACAGGGAGTGTATACACCGACGCCATTGTGATCGATTCTGAGCCATGTCACCAAGAGTCTCCAACCATTGGTTACGAAAGTCACGCGGACCCCAACCAAGTAGTCTGCATCTACCAACATGGCTCAGACTACAAGTTAGTGACTTCAGGCACTGATGCCACGTTTTGGTTTGGCCGCCCCTAACTTTCTTCCAACCATCCCCTACACCGGCTAGCATTGCACGTCGTGGTAATCGGTGTTCAGGCATACGTAACACGTGGCCCAACCATCTCAGTCGATGAAGATTCATAACCTCATCAACTGATTTACCATCATTCCCTAATACCCTGCGTCTAACCTCACTATTACTTACCCGGTGATCCCAGCAGATGCCAGCAATATTTCTAAGGCATCTGTGGTCAAATACTAGTAGCTTACGGGTGTCTTCTACTCTTAAGGGCCATGTTTCGCTGCCGTAAATTAAAACAGAACGAACTGCCGCGCAGTATACTCGTCCTTTTATTGATAGACGGATATCTCGCCTCCGCCAAAGGTGACGTAAGTTGGCAAAAGCCAAACGAGCTTTTCGAATCCGTGCTGAGATTTCGTCAGACACCAACCCATTAGGGCTGATCAGACTTCCAAGATAAGTGAAGTTGTCAACGCGTTCGACTACTTCACTCCCTATCCTTAGTTCAGGTGTTGACGCAGACCAGTCCTGAAGCAACAACTTGCATTTCGAGGGAGAGAAGCGCATCCCAAACATTCTGGCATTGTTGCTTAGTGCTACCAGAAGACTCTGCATTTTGTCAGCGTCTTCACCAAACAGGACTATGTCATCTGCGTATTCTAAGTCGATAAGTGGACCTCCTGGATGGAGATCAATACCCGAGAGTTCAGTCGACGAGAGTGTTATTTCCATCAATAGGTCTATGATGAAGTTAAACAAAAATGGGGAAAGTGGGCAGCCTTGACGGACACCACTTGAGGTTGCAAAAGTAGATGACAGTTCGCCATAAGCCCTGACTCGACTAGTAGTGTTCGAGTAAAGAGCCTTCACAAGGTGGAGGTGGTTACTTCGTTACAAATACTTATATGAACTATACAGGTTATCAAATCGAAAAAGAATTCAGTATTCGGATATAAATAAACACTAGAACAACCCAATAAATACCGGGAGAAAAAACCAAGGGAAGGCTAAGGTTAAAAAAAAAATTATTTACTTACCTAATCAAATCTGAATGATCATCATGATATGTAGAATTCAATATGCGTATCAATCGAGAAGTTATACAATTACTGGAATGATAAGAAAAAGATATGACTAAATACAAAAGAATTAATAATATTTGTCCCCCCCCCCAATTACCATAAACTACAAGGGTTTAAAACTGTTAAATGAGCTTAAATGGCACATTACTATATATGCTAGATTGGACATCAATAAGATAGCTGAATGATTGTCAGAAGAAAAAAAAAGCGCGAACACTATAAGTTTGATACAGTTAGGCGAATTGATGACATGAAAAAAATAATTATTATACTCTAGTGTACTGGAAAAAACATATCTTTAATGTCTTAATGGACTAAAACTATTACATATAACATAAACTACATTGCGTTCAAACGTGTTGCTGTGGTAGAATGTGAAGAGATTATCATCTCACATTGATCAAAAACATTTCTGAGGTTGTATATGGGTAGCATCTTTAAAAAACAAAACAGGGATAAAAGCGAACTTCCTGTGTAGAAACCGCGTTAATTGGTAGGGAAGAGGAGAAAATTCCACAGCTAAGAACCTTATTATAATTCCAAACTAATGGTGTATATGGGATCCAAGGAATGACATAAGAATTTACTTCGTTCACCTGGGATCATGGAAAATTATTTCCAGACTAAGATTCTTTGAATTGTAGATTACACATTTAGATATTCAAATGACTGACAAATAAATTCCTATGCAAACAACTTTCCTTTAGAAAGTCTATTCGTTATTATATCATACATGTATAATGACAATCAGAGTGGAAATTTCAAAACACAAGTGGTAAATAAGTTAACCTAATCAAGTCCACATGACTGTAAATACGTGTTGAACTTAATCCACGCATACTATAAGAAATAACGATGTTGCTAAGAGGATGCTCGCAATCTTTTTTGTATAGTTAAGTGCTTAAAATCCAATTAGGACACTTGGTTGTAACTACAAGCTATGATACATATTTAGTAAAAAATGACCGTATTGTTGCCAATTACCTTATTTTTAAAAAAAAATACTAATAACAATAAACATACTTGTTTAAAAGTGTGAACAAAACAGATTTATCGATTGTGGCTGACTGTAACCAATGCCCGGAACGTGCAAGCTCTTTTAATTCAGAATCAGATTCACTATGTTCTGGGACACGGGTAACGGCTATCAAAAACGGATATGAACCAGTTTTACTAAGAAATAGATGAAATACAAAAGAGAAAATGTAAACATGGTAAATTTACAAACAGTAATTAAAGATTGTCAGCACGATAGATTTCTGACTGTTGTATAATCTGATTGAATTGGATACACTGATTGACCGATATTCAATCAATCAGCGTTAGTGGACGTACCGAGATCCTGCAATATTCTTATATAAACTGTAGTGTTTTTATAAATGTAATTTTATTATTTGGATTATTGGAATACGTATATTGTTCACTTTCGATTCTTGTTTATATCAAGGAAAATTTGAGTGAAATATAGTCTAAAAAATATTAGTGTTATATCTTTGAAAAGGATAAACTCTTGTTTGGTATTGGGTTCCATGTGATCAGGCCGTTATTATGGAAAAAGTACTATCCGGTTAGATTAATTTGTCCGATCCCTGTAGGAATGTCCAATAACCAATGAACAATGACAGAGAACTTAATGTAGTAAATTCCCTTCGTGCCAGTATAGCCTTAATTGTCTGTAACATAACAATAACTGCAAGCCCAACCACAACTTAATCGTAATCTTTTAACAAGTTTCAACATTTAAAAATCAGAAAAACCGAACAAACTTACCGCCCACTTAATTCATCTTCATACAGTGCAACAGTAATCAAATGTAGTAACAAATCTAGTAGACTATGTGACCACCATGAGGCTGATGTTCCATGAGAATAGGCAATATCTAATAATGTTTTAATTAAACGTACAAATGTAACACATTGAATAATATGTAATGGACCAGGATAAACAGATGGTGTAAATTTGTGTAAAGGACGAGGAGCCGGTGGTGGTATTGGAAGATTTTTTAAATCAATATTATTTTGTTCTTGAATCCATTTCTTTAAACATTTAGAAACATTTGCTTCAGCCTATTAAAGAAGAAAAACAAGCTGTTGAAATGTTCACAAAGATGTACTGGTTAAACTGTTAAGCACAATTTTACTCAACCCAATAATAAAAGTGACTAAAAACACAGACACATACAGTTTTTAGTAATATGCAATATCCTAATTGATAACAAATGGAACTCAAAACAACTTTCAAAAAATATCGAAGTCACAATCTTCAATACGAACGTCAACACAGTCCTAAATTAAGCAATTCAAAGTGTTTTCATGAATTAATCTACGAGAATGCAATTACACAGTTGACTTTAACAGTTTTAAAACTATTCTCTCTGGAACTTTGGAGATATGACCATTTGTTTTTTGATAACTAATGTACATTTTCATTCATTGAGCTTGAATACTAAACAGTCAAAGAACACTAAGCAGAACGTTTGAAGTGAATATGACATTGAAGACACATATACACATAATCATAGCTCAAAGAGCCGAGAAGCGATGAAATTGAAGAAGAATATAAAAATACTTTTATTGGTTAGAATACAGGCTGAAAACATAGTGTATCAGACTTTATACAGAAACCCAGAATGGATTTGAAAAGTTTATTAATATTCCTTCCAAAAATCGATGCTAAAGTTAAATACACATCAATAATAATAATATTTTTATTAAATACTATCTCTTGGCACAATATGGAATTCTTGGAAGTTACAATCAGCTGCAAAATTCATGAGAAAATTCATATATTTTAGTTGTTTGGATCTTCCCATAAACATTTAGGACTTCAACTGATTAGTCTGTTTTGAAGGATCACCTCTGCTTAAAAGATTTATCTTTGAAACTAAATGAATGGTAAATAATCAATCAGTGGAAAAAATAACTTTTCAAGGCATTTTTACATTTCTATGATCTACTAAACTCGTTGTATAACATCCCAATCACAATTATTTGCTTGATTTCAATAATTTATAGAGTCGGAAATTAAGAAAACTGTGTTAAATGTAATATTGTTATCTAATCATTTGAAAACAGATCGATCGAATGTGTCTTCAGTTTACTTATTATTCTTATAGACTTGAAACTACAATACAGAATATTGAACAGTCATTTATTTACTTATTTATTTGAACACATATATATATGGTACAAGAGGGCACCAAATATATATGCGCCACACCTTTTTGTGAGGGCTGTAATACTGCCCGGGTGCCCACACCGAAGCAGGTGGTTTTCTTAGGTGGCCACACCCTAAGCCTTTGACCTAAAGGTCTAACCCACAAGGCAGTGGATCATCGTGAGGAGATGCAGTCCCATGGTCTTGAGTGCTGTTAGAGGTATGAGGGCGGTTATCACTTCCAGGTTGCCCACACCGTGGAAGGGTTCTTCTAAAGGTACTTGAAAAGGAAATTGGATTAGAGGTGGTCTTAGTGACCTGAGAGTGTAACCGCAGTGCCCAAGGGACAACTGCTTGAGGTCGGTCACACACGACCTTTATGTGAGTAGTTTTTGTGTTAGCTCCGTACTTGTTAAGACCTTACTGCCGGAGACGGATATCCGTGGGATAAGGTGAGGTGTGCATTTTTAGGATCGACCTTTTCTAACCCCACCCCTCCTTGTGGGAAGGCAGTATCGCTGTCATGCTGGTTGTCTGAAGGAAACACCTTACTGCTGTCACACCTCTGTAAAGTCAGCAGTACTACTTCACCCTCAGACCTTGGGTTTGTTGCTTTTAGTCTTACCGCTCATCAACTGACCTGTCTGACATGGTAGGATTTTGAGGAACGGTTGTTCCAGCCAGTATAGCTCGGTTGCTTCAACACGATAGGCAAGCCCGACCACCACGTCAAGGTAGCAACAACGGTTGGAAGAAAGTAAGGGGCGGCCAAACCAAAACGTGGCATCAGTGCTTGATGTTTATCCAAACTATATTGCACAAACATATTAAGATATATGATAGTACACTTACAGCTGTTTGTTCCGGATGTCTATATCCCCAATAAAATCGATTAAATCGATATGCCATATATTCTGGTCGTATACTGAACACTGTACGGTTATTCACCGATGATTGTACGGCTAGTTTACGTAATATTTTAGGTAATGCGTTTTCTATAGCACGTTTATTAGCACTTCTTGATATTGAAGCTGGTAAAACTGGTGGTCTGGAGCCCAAATCTATAGGACATGCTGTTGACGATTGTTGTATTTCTTCTGTGCTCATTTCATGGTCTGATTGATCTGATTGATGATGTGTTGAATCCGATTGTTCCGTTGGAACTCTTAACAATAAACTATTTGCATTTTGATATGGAAGAACGGATAATAATTCACTATAACTTAAAGGTTTCAGGCATAATGTATGTATCACATCATTAATTAGGCTCGGATAGTAAATTTCCGATTCAGTATCAATCAGGATATCATCCAAACAACTCAACAGTTTATTATTAGAATCGTTCATCATGTAGTAGTCTTTGGCAAAATAACCCATTGAAGGACGTGAACGATTAGAAACACATGCCAATATTACGCGTAACAACATTTCCACTGCATGTACACGACCAAGACCGGGTTCTTTAGATGAGACATCGCTGGATTGTTGTTTTGTTCAGGTATTTTTATTTTTGAAAATAGAAGTTGGATAATAACAAAAAAAAACAATGATTTTGAAAGTTCAGCATTTATCAACTGCTTACTTATAAGTAGTTTATAATTCTACTGTACGACACCTCAAACAAGGATATCGTTTCAATTATTTTTGCAACTAAAAAAAAAAACAGTTCTCTGTCTAGTAGTTTCATTGAAACACAATCTTTATATTACTGTTAGTCTTAAGGCAATGGACATCAAAATAGTAACAATACCTGATGTAATATGAGATAGTAGGGGAAAACATTTAAACTGTCAGAGAATTTCAGTAAAACAAGTGCTTGAGACTGTAGTATACCGGTATGTAGTATTATTAATATGCAATCATTGAATAAGAACGTAAATACATGTTATCGACCTGATGATTTATCCTTCTATAACTCATATGGACGTAAAAGTGTCAGAATGAAATCGTGCTAATGATTATTAATACGGTAAAGTGATTGTTTGATTATAAATGCATTCGTGTAAATATAGTGAGGGTGAGAAATAAACATAATCAGAAGGGGTTTTGTGGAGATTTTAGAAATTTCAATAGTTGAAATCATGAGTCTCGCAGGAGGGCGGGATCGTGGAAGTTCACTGCTGAGGAGTCCCATACTAGGACGAAACGGCCGTCCAGTGCTTCCAGGTTTTCCATGGTGGTCTAGCTTCAATTGACTCATGATTTCAACTATTGAAATAAACAGGAACCAAATAAATCTCCTGTTGTTAATAGGACCAATAACGTTCAAGGAAACGATTCGAGATGTAAACGAATCTTATAATGACGAACGAGGTTTGTTTATCTAACTAAATACAAGCAAGAAAATACATCTGATGATTTCAACTGATGTATATTATTCTACAATAGTTTTGAATAAATTGTGTAAGATAATCAATTCAGATACGTTGATTCTAGAAAGAACTTAAGAACTAGTAGGATTCAATCATATAAGAAGGAATAAATAAGACAACCACTTTCATCATTGGTACTGCATAGTTATCATTCAATGTTATATGAATTGTTCAGAATTTGGAAATTTGGACAACAGAATTAAAAGTCAATAATGTAAAGATTAAACTTTAGGCGCCAATATTCAAAAATCAAAATGGATTCTTTGAGAAGTAAGCGTTGATAGTTTTGTTTGCCAAAACAATAACAAAAGCTTTGCAATTATAAAAACCACAGAGCTTAAAGACGATAAGCCTAACCTACCAGAAACAACAACGAAAAAACAATTCACATGAGCTACAAAATTCTCCACAATAATTGAAAACATAATTGTCCATTCAGTTTTCCCGTACTATGTCCTTATATGCAATCTTTATTTTATATATTACCGCCAATGAATTAACTACTTCTTTGAATCCGGTGTTCATCTTGTTATGCTAATGAGGTATGGCAACTTAGACCGATGCACATATGTGCCTGGTCCTACGTTGTAGCTGACTGACTATTGAGTTTGATTAAAATATCTTGACATTGAACACATTTAATTGATTGATTCAATTAAAACAACTTGAACTCACGTCTTTAAATAATTACCCAAATGAAATTTGTGTATTAAACGAACAATAAATTCATCCGGTGGTAGAACACAACTAGCAATTTGTAATAATTGTAGATCACGATCAACTAATTCAACACGTATTGATGGACTGAATAGATTCGTCATCTATACAAATACAGAATTAAAAAAATACAGTAGCTAGTCATATTGTACGTACAGACAGGCACAAAAGTGAATTAGCTCAAGTTGTCTAACTACACAAAGATTAGATAAAATTAACACGATGTATAGAAAAGAATTCAAAATAATACCAGTAGCAGTGAAAACATGAGAGATCAAACATTAAGAACATGGTTCGAGAAGACAAAATTAGGAGATATATATAAAGAGTGACTGGAATGGATAAAAGTGATGCGTCTGCACCATCAAGAATGAAACTCATCCATAATATTTAACGTTTTAAATCCTTGATCAGGGTGAGCTGGCAGACTTCTACAAGGTACCATGCATACACTAACATGGGTCGTCTATACTCACATTGAAAATAAAGGGAAAAGGGTAAGAATAACTAATACAGTTTCTTTATGATCGAGTCATGGCTAAGTGGATATCAAAATGTTAAATGTCAAGATGAAATCACTATTGATTAGATCAAGATTTAATTCTATAAAAATTCAGAATACAGATTAATGAAACATCAAGGCCGATGGAAACCAACAGTATTATTAATATCTAGAAGTATTCTGTGCATCTAAGCATGAAAATGACACAATTTACGTAAATGTAGTATATGACTTCATCGCTTATAAAAGATCAGAATCATTTTAAAAAAATAAAATTTTGGTTGCCTGACCGCTCTTTCTTTAGAAAGGCATTCTAACAAGAGAAATCTAGGAAATGTATTATTGTTACTGAAAGTAGAACTTCGTAACATAACAACAATGGATGATTATGTTGAGTTTGAGATAGTTACCTACAAACTGTAACGGAACGCAGCGGTGCAATAATACAACTAGACTGACGTTAGAAGTTTAGACCATTAGATATCGATTCAGTAACCTGTGAGTTAAGCGATTGCCATGAGATTCGAAAGTCCTAGATTTCTTTTACCAATTCAATATGAATTTCGACCAGGGTGACAGGTGCGACCTTCGTTTAGAGTAACCTTTTTAGGTCGACATTCATTACACCAACTGGCTATTTCCCAGTCACCGATCAACTGTGAAAATATCTCAGTCCAACAGTAAGTCAGTCACAGCCCGGATATCTGAGCGATAATGTCTCTGACTTTGATGCTGGGTGACACAGGATCGAATCCGTCAGGAAGCATCAGTTTCCCTAAGATTTCAGGCACACCTTGCTGACGAGTGTCGAATAGCACGAGATCCAGTTCAAGGATTCCCTATGAATTACCTACAACTACCACCTTATACACAAGTCCAAACGTGCGACTAATCAGCTGGAAGCCAACTCCCTCTCCCCTTCAAAGCTCGTACATTCAATACATAAAATGATTAACACATAACAAAATAAATACAACAATAAAGTCACACATACAGATTGTTGAACAGCGAATCCATTACGAACCCACATTTTAGCATTGCATTGAGCACAAAATGCAAATATTTGCAATGGTCTTTCAATCAATAGATTTACAAATCCCTTATTAGAAATAAATAAATAATAATTAGTCAGAAAATAAAAACGATGTTCAAGTTGATAATAAAGTGATTCATGTACAAAGCATATAACTTATCAATTACTGCAGAAAAGGTGTACGAGATAATTGAACCATGTTATCAATGAAGAACATAAAATCCATGAGTAAAATAATCAGGAGAATTTACGAGTAGGAAAAGAACGTAGGTGAACAATATGAAGATAGTTACAGAAGTCTTTAACTATTCAATCTGTAGTATCTAGTTGAATGTGGCCACAACGAATCAAATTCACACCCCCCAATTATTTTGTCGATAGTGTATACATGTTTTTTTCTAATTGACAAAAATCACTCAAAAGTTTCTTTTTTTCGTAATCCTTCTCATTCATTGAAAGTTAAATATGTTGGTAAACTAAGTGTGAAGTGGTAATAAGCTCATGAATACCATAGAATTAGCTAGTCACATAAAACATGTGACTTAACGGGAGCGTGTATCAACTAGAGTTAGTGGGATATGAGCAACAATAAGTAAGACAGACAAAACTATGATTGTTATCTATCTATAGAAACTAAAAACAGTAAAGTTAAACAAACCCTTAATGAACGAGGATTGAACAGATAGACTACATCTAATCTCAAAACCTTGATTGTTCAACAACAAACGCAACCATATTTAAATTTGATAGCTTCGCACAACCGTAAGTAAGTACATTTTATCGTTGAAATACGAGTGGTCTATACGTTAAATTAGCCTTAGTTTCAATACTTTGGACGTTTAACATAAGTACTTCAGCTTCTTACTCCATCTAATCCAAAAGATTGATTGTCATAATAGAATTTGTCGAGAAAAATCAATTATTGGATTAAGAGAACAGCACTGACAGCTAATTAAGTTCATACTTCGTTTGAAGTCACACAAAAAAATATCACCACATTTAAATACTAGCAACATAATTAGAAAAATTCTTTAGGCTCGTATATCCTGAGACCACCGAGTAAGCAATGCAGTTGTTAGGAAACGGATACTAGGTAAGGATAACGAATCGATTGATGAGGTTTCACTACTTCATCAGTTGAGATGACTGGGACATGTGTTACGTATGCCCAACCACCGACTGCCTCGACGTGCGATGTTCAGTGGTATAGGAGTAGGTTGGAAGAAAGCTAGGAGCGACCACACTAAAACACAGCACAAATCCATAAAGTCACTGATAAGTGGACTGAGTCATGTTGGTAGGTGTAGACAACTTGGTTGGGATCCACGAGATGATAGCAACCGATGGTTAGAGACCCTGAATGACATGGCTCAAAATCGTTTGCAATGGTGCAGGCGCATCCACTCTTTATGTTCTCCCAAGTTCTAATCTTCTGAATTCTACATGTTCCTTTCTTTTCTCTCTTTCCAAATTTATTTCACTGGATTATACTTCTTGAATAACATCTTCAAACCCTAATGCTTCTGATTACTGCTTATACTTTGACTGCCTCTACCACTACGTGATTTGAATTGACAATTGTATCTCTGTGCTAATGTGGTATGGCAACTGGAACTGAGGTACGTACGAACGAAGTTATACGTTGCTGCTGACTGACTGATTGAAAGATGAAGGACACCGCTCCCAGTGTACATCTTCAGTGGGCAAATACAATGATAAAAACATCAATTAGAAGATATGTTCACTACTTCAAATTTTGGATCAACAAAGAACGAATATCATGGTCATGAAATATTATATAAACAATAAAAACAAGCTTCTACCTGATCTAATAAACCCAAGCTTTCAAAATTCAATCCCATTTCTAATCCATGTCCATACAAACTTGCCAATAATCGGGAATCGGTTGTAATAAACTTAAACGATACACTGATACATCATACACATACACTTCCGTTGTGACACCAAGTGAATGAAAGTTTAATTTATTCGACATGACATTGTTATTAGCTTGATTAGATTCATCATTGTTATCAAGTTTAAGATCTATTGTTAACGGTTTAATACGAAAACGACGATCCATTATACCAATACGTGTTTCAAAGACCTATATACAATAAGAACCATAAACAAATAAACAACCAACAATATGAAACCACATGAGACATTCTGTAAACAAAATTCAAAAGAATAACGCGACATACAACAAAATTATTGAATATTAGGAATATTTCCATTTCAAAATAATATAAAGTTTTTTTCTTTTACCAAACATCATTCAATTACGAGGGCTAAAAGTACATTAAATAATCAAGTGTGTATCACAGGCCGTAATCTATATATAGTATACCCTTGTGGGCCAGGGTAATTTTACATTGGTTTTCAGGAGAACCAGACATCATCCATACTTTCATGTGACAACCCAAACAATACAGCTCAATCCCATTTAACAGGAGAGGCAGACACCGCCCAGGCTTAAAATTTGTAGCCTAAATAGCACGGCTCAATCCCGTTTCCAGGAAAACCAGACACCATCCAGGCTTAAACTCTATAACCCGAGTAATACAGCTCAATCCCGCTTCACAGGAGAACCAGACATCATATAGGCTTTAACGCTACAATCTAAATGAAACAGCTCAATCCTGTGGCGTAACCACACAGGTACCAAGCACCCTGGTGAACCAGGGTCACAATCTAACCGCATGTTAATGATGTAATTCCTTTTTATTTCAAAATAACACAACCCATAAAATAAAACTAGACAAACATATTCTAATACAATACTGGTTAGCAGTCATCATGTTCATAGGTTTGGGTCTATGTGACTGCACTTAAAACTGGAGTTTTAAGCAACAGACAAAAGAGCTGTCAAATTTTCATGTAATTTTACGTTCTTATTACATATCGGATGCTTCGAGGGTTTAAAATATTAAAACTGAATATTTTCGCGATCAAAACCAATTCTAATAGTTGAAATCATGAGTCAATGTAAGCTAGACCACCATTAAAAACCTGAAAGCACAGGACGACAGTCTCGTCTTAGTATGGGAATCCCCTAGCAGTACACATCCGCGATCCCGCATGTGGGACTCGAACCCAGGACCTTCGGTCTGGCGCGCGAATGCCTAACCTCTGGATCACTGAGCCGGCATCCAACAGTGGTCTAGCTTACATAGATTCATGAATTAAACTATTAAAATCACTAGAATCTCCACAAACCCCCATTCTAATAAAAACCAATTCATTGAAAAAATTGAGTTAAATATTTTGGCAATTTGTAAATAAGAAAATACTAACATCAATGATTTCTTTCAGTTTCCACAACATTTGTGTTCAAACTTTAAAGTTAATGAAAATGGCAATGTCATAATGGTCTATGTAAGATCCTTAACTTATTCAATTAATCATGTAAGAGATAAAAATGTTTATTAACTAACAAATTGGTAGTCGTATGATTTCGTCATAGATATTACATTTAATACATGAAAGACACACACACACACACAAAATGCTGATTTCATCAAATTTCCGAAGGAATGCTTATCAAAAAGAATGAAAGTATTGTGTAATTTTGATTTCACACCACATGACATTCAATATATAATGGTGTTATGATAATTTTTCTTACCAAAAAAACAATTAAATTTAATCTCTAAATGAAAAAGGTATACTGGATTAAACTACATGTTATTTCACAACAAATCTTATTTTCTAGTTCATTTGTCACGCCCATTCTTTCATATGTGTAACTGATAATATCCACTGGTTTTTTTATGATTCAATGACCTTTTATTATTCTTTAGTTAATGTGTTAAATAATTTGTTCCTTTCGAATTTCTATGACTGATCTAGACAGTCACGAAATCCGGTCGCAATCATACAGATTTTTTTGTGTACTAATTGTACATAGAATAAATTATTCTAATAGAATATTTTCAATTTAGGCAGCTTATCACCTCGTGTTGAAATTTCCAAGTCATCCAGGATCTCTTATGTTTAGTGAATTTCCTAATAGGAAGTGTTGTAATTGAGGGTTACTTACTTACTTACCGCTGTTACTTCTCATGAAGGAGCATATGCCGCCTACAAGGACTCTCCATCTAACCCTTTCCTGTGCAATTTTTTCCAGCTCTTTCCAGTTGTTATTCATTATTTTCATATCTGCTTCTATTTCCGACGTAATGTATGCTTTGGCCTTCCACTTTTCGCTTCCCTTCAGGATTCCAAGTTAGTGCTTGCCTCGTGATACCGTTTCATGATATCCCACAACGTATATCCTATCCACTTCCATCGTCGTTTCCCATTTTCTGTTCAGATGGAAGCTAGTTTATTCTCTCCTACATTAGGCTGTGGCTGATTGTATCCGACCAATGGATGTTGAGTGTCTTGCGTGGACAACTATTTATGAATACTTGTACCTTCTTGATGACGGTTTTAATAGTTCTCCATATTTCAGCTCCGTACAGTAGAACTGTGTCGACGTTCGTATTGAAGATTCTCACTTTGATATTATTTGATAGTTGTTTCGATTTCCATATGTTCTTCATTTTAGAAATGCAGCCCTTGCTTTGCCAATCCTCGCCTTCACGTCTGCATCTGATCCTCTTTATTCATCGTTGATGCTAACCAGGTACGTGAACGATTCCACCTCTTCCAAAGTTCCTTCATCAATTGTGGTTGTGTTAGTGTTCGCCGTGCTGTATTTAAGAACCTTACTGATACAAAGACTGCTGCTACACGAGTTGTCCTCATCTGCATTTGTTCGTGTGTATGGGACAGGAGGGCTAGGTCATCTGCGAAGTCCAAATCGTCTAATTGGCTTTAAATTGTCCATTGTATGCCGTGTTTTCCCTCAGATTTCAAGGTCTTCATAATCCAGTCGACCACTAGAAGAAACAAGAAGGGGGAGAGCAGACAGCCTTGTCTGTATCCGGCCCTTACTTGGAATGCGTCTGTCAGCTGTCATCTATGCACAACTTTGCACTGTAGTCCGTCGTATGAGGTCCAGATAATGTTAACAATCTTCTCAGGAACTCCACAGTGTCAAAGACGTTCTCATAATGTTCTCCTGTCTGCACTGTCAAACACCTCATAATCAATAAAATTGATGTATAGGTTGCTAATGCATTATTTCAATCATCTTTACATTTATATTCATATAATAACTCATTTTATGAAACTTGAAACAGATTCAAACCACTCATAAAGTATTCGCAACCACTAAGAAGATATCAGTTTGAGTAAATCTGCTGTATTCATATTCTGACTTACAGAGCCTTGTTTTAGTTAATCTAATCACCCCGAATATATTTTACAGCCGCCGGTATATTTTGAACAGTTTAAGGGTTATCACTGAAATTACAAGACCGAATACTACATAAGTGCTTTAAATTTGTACTAAATCAAAATCAAATGATTAAATTTGTTCTCTTATAAGCTATTTTCTTGGATTTCAGAAACTAAAATAAAAAACTTACCTGACGAACTTCACGTAATACCAAATTGTAAAGTTCATAATCTGAACTCGCCACTTGGACAGTTAGGCCAAGCAGACTAACTAATAAACTCATAATATAAAATCCACTAGCCCATTCTAATTCTTCTTCAACATGATTTTGTGTTTCACGTTGCATACCATTCATATCCTACAGATGGATATAAAAGAAAAGTGAATAAGTAGTGCATATATGTAAATGTGAATACATGAGTAGTTAAACTGTCTTAATACTGAATATGCAACAGAGTATCTCATCTTAAAGAGAGTATTTTAGTGATGTTATTACGCTTTTCGAGTTACCTTCATTGTTGTTTTGGACAAAAACATTAGTACCTCCCCAAATATATATTTTCAGGGGAAAATAATCAACTGAAATGAATATTGTTCATAAACATTTCATCAATATAGCATCACTCAAGATTGTTTATGGAACCAGGGAAATTATTTATTATACATAAGGAATTGGCATAATTATATCTGTGTTACAAAAGACATCAATATATTAGTTTCATGTTTAGATCTCACTCCCGCTTCAGTAGCTTAGGCATCCTGGTGGCATTACTAACCTCCATGTGTAAAGTTTGTCCGTAACCTGAATATCTATTATAAACCCTTGAAAAGAATCACAAAGATTGTTCCAAGTTGGAGAATTGGCAATCGGAGTCACTGACGTGAACTCCAGTAATTTTTCTTGATCATTTATACGCAAACTGCAAAATGTACACCAAAGAGAAATGAACCACGACTGTTGACGAAATAGTCTAGCTTGCACATTGTGATGAACCGATCGGGACATACTGGCAGCCATGACAGCCAGGTCCGTTGGAGAACGGTAAGACAAAAAGTAGAAGACTGGAGGTCCGACGAATTCGTACTGCAGAATGTACAGAGGTGTGATGACCTAAGAACACATGTATGCTTACTGGCGTCCGACAATGATATTTTTCCTTGACTTAAAAGTAGCATTTGACTCTGTAAGCCAGGAGATTCTGTGGCAGTGTCTATCATTGGAAGGCGAAATATCCGTCTATCAATGCATATATGTGTCCGGTCCTACGCTGTAGATGATTGAATCGAAGTTAAATGAACTGTATTTGAATTTCTCTTCAAATTTAGATTGTTTTTCGAAAGTTTACAAGTATATTTTTTGGGACTTAATTGTCTATAGGTTCAACGTATGACATTGTTTAAAAACCTCCAGCACAGTTCTGTTCTTCTACTTCGAAAAAAGCAATATAACTATCGTTTCCTTCTCATGCTAAAGATTTGAGTGAAAACTATTAGACTGAAACAAATGTATTCGAACATGTAATAACGTATGCACTGAAAAATCTTAAAGTAAATCATCTAAAGGAAATACCATTTGAAATTCAGTATAACAATAGATGCTACAAAAAAAATGAAATTTGGTTGTCTGTCAAGTATGTAAAAACTTATCACAGCAACTGTTTATCGGTCACATTTTTCAAAGAGAGAAATTAGAGTAGTGGAGTTTATGTACGGAATTATCACAGAGAATTACTCAATTGTATAGTATTGGTAAACATAAATTGCCAGGATGATATACATTGGTAAAGGAAATTATGAAAAAAGAAAATAACATTAATAATAATAATCCTCAGAAAGGAAAATTTTTACAAATTATTTTATTTTGATGGAATCTTGTTCCCTGAACTGAATGGTTTGGTTGTGGAGCTTTTATCTTTCGTCTGGACGACATCAACACAAACTTCAGGTAGAAGTGAAGTGTTCGAATTTCTCTACATTTGGCTCACAGCTTGTCTTGTACACCTCGATGTTGATTGTTTCTTGTTGACCTTAAACCTGTCATTTTAACTTATCACTAAAAGTATATTTGTAGTACATAATGTAAATTGAAACAAAATAAATCCTATGGTAGAATAAACAACTGATCAGTAAAATTATGTTCATGCGATATATGAATGTATGAATATAATCACTGCGATATATTTATTACTAAGGAGAAAATAGCTGATAAAAATAATGACAAGTTAACTTACTTGTATAAAACTAAGCAATGATAAAAATTGTCTTATATAATCAAGATAAGCAGATCTTGCAGCTTCCGTCCACCAAGTAACTGAACAATTACCATCATTATCTATAACAATAGGTCGAACATTAGTTAAGCTTGCCAGAATATAGTCCACATCACGTATAACATGAAATAATCGTTCAAATGGATGAAATAATGAGCGAGCAAGTGTATTACCAGCTTGCCATGATAAAACACGCGGTTCTGGAAGAACACAATTTATTGGATTCATATTAGTTGATGATATTGTAAGATTGTTCATATAAGATCCAGCTGATGAACCCCATTCGAATGGATTCAAACGTCTAAGTAGGTCAAGAACAGCACTAACCCATGATACATTTGTATCAGTATTGAAATTAGATATAGCTAATTCTTCTTGTATATCGGCAGGTATATTTTGATTAGTTGTTTGTGAATAAAAATCAGGTAAAACAATTGAATTAACTTGAAATGCATTAGTTAATCGAGAAATTAATCGTGTCAAAATATTGTTCTGCTCTAAAAGTTGACGTGCCTGTAATACAAATAATAATAATAATAATAATAATAATAATAATAATAATAATAATAATACTGCATTACATATTCATTAGGTATGATATCTTTTTTTAAATTAAAAAAAAAACGTAATACACAGTCCTTTATGCTCTGTTATGGACAATATAGAAAACCGGTATAATTAATTGTATACCAAGCAGTATGGACAAAACGTTAATTGTAAAAGTTTTTTTTATTTCCAAGACAGAACTGTGATTAATATCACTTGATAGATAATGAAATAATGACAATACATAGTGCTTTCATCATCATCATAACAAACTGACTTGAGTAATATGTCATTTGATATAACATGTCACACTGTATAACAACTTAAAGCGTTATGGATGTAATAGTCAACATGATTTTAGCGACTTCATGCATTGTTACCATGATATGAAGATGCGTAATTGATAAAATTAATTCATTAAAGTACAGAGACATATTACAACTGATATTTTCCTGATGATAATATCTCACAGCTAATATTGATTCATTGTAGTGTCGGTTACTATGTTAGGTCCATATAACTTATTCTAGCTTCTGGACAGATCAATTTATCCATTCCTCTTGAACCACGTTTTGACCTTGTTAATTATTCACCTATCAACCCTGACTGCTTTTATATGAGCGTACGTGTGTACACTTCTTATCCCATTCATTGCATGTCTGTAACCTATTTTTGTGTGACTATGAATATTGAATAACGCTTGATTAAATGAAGTTGGTTCACACGCCTTCTCTACTGCATGTATTTTCTCTTCGCTCATTCTTCTTTGCTTTTATCGCTACGTCCATCTGATTATCTGTTCCTATTAACGATTGTACAAAATATAAGTATTCGAAAATCCATTCTCGTATTTAACTTATTTTAATTCCCGTATTCACTAACGCGAGTTAAGTCGATGATAGGCGACATATAGATCCCGATAGCAATCATTCAATAGCGATCAACATATGATCTAATTGTAATCAGATAAAAAACCACAGAAGTGGTTAGCGCGTCGACAACATGCAGTCTAATTGACGTCAAAATGGAGCACCCCACATCATTTTGGGCACCAATATGAACAATATGAATGCAAACTGAAACTTGTTCATAGATAAAGACTATGCAGTATATCATCAACAAGAAAACAAAATGTATTACAACTAGAAAAATAAAACAACACCATTATCACAAACTGAATGTAGGAACTTCAGTCAATTGATGTACAAGATAATACAATAATCGAGATTTGTAGTTCAGAGAGAGAATTTCGGAAGTACTATGTCCTCTGATTTGGATAATTTAACTGTTAAACGTTTATTACCTTACTACATAAAATCAGCAGCCATTAGTTTCAAAAGAATTAAGCTTATTTATTTATCTGAACACATAAATATTGGTACAAAGAGAAGCCAAATACATATGCTCCACACAAGTAACCTGATTTGTGTGTGGGTCGTGATAATACCCGGGTGTCCAGACCGAAGCAGGTGGTTTTCTTAGGGGACCACACCCAGAGCCTTCGACCTAAAGGCCTGATACACAAGGAAGTGGGGCAACATCAGGAGATGCAGTAACATAGTAGCCAGTGACCAATAATTGGCTCATACGCCAATTGTTCCCCCAGGGTCCTGAAACCTATGTGCACCATTGGTTTGGAATCACGGTTTTCTAACTTCCCCTAGGTCAACTCTCCGTGTCCACCAAAGTGCGAGACACTCCTTTTTCGTCCTCTCAATTTTGTAAACAACAGTAATGTCGCGAGAAGGCATAGGACTTCTGTGTCAGTGGCTGTATATGCGTGGCCATGTGAGAGCGTTTCGAGAGGGAGAGCTGACTCTCTACACCCTCAACCGTTCCAAAACATTTGGGGGCAAAGCGGTGTGCGTCAGCTACTAGAATTTCTCCATACCTGACTAACAGCATATATATATATAGTTAAAAACTAAACCCTTTTTAAAATGTAAATTCATGAAGTGATATGTAACTTACCAAACTGATAACAGTGTAAAATTGACAACTTAGACCACATAAACTGTCTCCAACTAAATGATCATCATAAATATGATTTTGAATTAACGATGAATAGGACTATGGATACATAGATGATCAATGGACATCAAGTTGTTTGATATAGGAAATCCATAGATGAAATGGGTTTTTTTTTTATAGAAATCAAAAATCAACACAAAATATCAATCATATGATTAGAAGATAAAAATTAATAGTTTCCATTTAACTATGATCATTTATAGTGAACATGATCTAGTTACAATGGAAATAAAACGTAATTGTCAAATAAGAATAATAATTTAGATTTCTGTTTTACAAAATTGGCTTACAAACAATAGTTCGACTGCTACTCTATTTTGATTTAAATGACCGACCCTAGAGTGTATGATTAACCTTGAACATACAGATTAAATCAAAATACTTCACATGATAAATGAGGTGCATTATTATTACATTGTAAGATTCAACTGTTAATCGAGGATAATTACTAACACTGTAACTCGGCCTGGAGCCCCTATACGGCTACTGCCAATTTTAATCTCGAATAAAGGAGGAGGGTTGGGCATGGGGTTAGCGACCCCCCCCCGTAGAAAACTAACTCGCTAAAAAAAACGTTAACCAGAAATATTAACATTTTTTTCCAGTTAATGACAAACAGATAAATGAATAACTAGACAGACTGATTTATCAGTTGTTACATTTTCTCTTCTAATATACACCCATCACTAGCAGACCTAATGATAGTGACTAGTCATAATGAAAGCAAAGAGGATGAAGAGGGCAATGACGATAAATAACACTAGACAACTGTTTAAACTCATCAAAGTGATTGCGGTTGAAAATTCAGCTATTTGCGGAAACAAAATGGAAAAGACATAATCTTTATCTACTATTCAGTTGTTTAATACTTAATAAAATCTTGAACGGGAGATTGACTTTAAGCTTTCAATTGACAGATACATCGAAGTAATTAAAACTAATTGTAAGAGAATAAGCACAGATTATGATGGACTAACTCGATAGGTCTTCAGGAAAAATGGTAGTGATCACAAACCATTTCAATCTATAAAAAGGACAGTAAACCTATTATGATAATCAGAGCGATTAGTTTTGCTAATTGTTTTTGAAATACTAGTATTCATAATTGCTCTACATTTAACTTAAGCTCTGGAAAAACGAACATGAGAAAATTGAGCCTGTCTTAAACTTGGTAATAGATGTATTCGCTCGATTCTTATGTTTACGCTAGAATATTCCTTAGTTCTTTATGCTTTCAGTCTGTTAAATCTTAGTGACTATCTATTCTTCATAAGAGCTCTTCAGATTTTGTCTAATTCTTGCTTAACAGTAACAATTTTTTACATTTTCACGATACATTTTTTCCTGGTTACAAGGGATTCAATATTGAAAGTTAAGGAATTGTCTGATCCACAAGGCAGTGGAGCAACGTCAGGAGATGCAGTAACATGGTAGCCGGTGACCAATAATTGGTTTATACGCCATATGTTCCCTCAGGATCCTAGAACCCATGTGCACCATTGGTTTGCAATCAAGGTTTTCAAACTCCCCCAGGTGGATCCTCCATATGTACCAATTTATCCAATTTCAAATCCTAATCATGAACAATAAATGTATTGATCAAAAATTTTTTGAAATATTAATAATCTATTGATCATTCGTAGCCAAACCAGTACTCACATAAGGAAATAGACACAAAATCTGTTACCCATCAGAATAATATTTTACAAACTAGAAAAACAGCAGATAGGTGTGTACATATTCAGTCAGTTACAACGTAGGACCAGGCACAGATATGCATCCGTCCAAGTTGCCACACCTCATAAGCACAACAAAATGAACACCAAATTCATAGAAGTAGTTATTCCAATGGTAGTAATATATAAAAGATTGCATATAAGGATATAGTACAGGAAGAAAGAAAGATATGAAACGATTTTAACCTCGTAGTTTGAGGAAGACAGAGAGTGTATATACCTAGGCCATTGTAATCGATTATCGGTCATGTCACCCAACCATCTGTTACGATAGTTACGCGGATCCTTACCAACATGGCTAAGAATAGAAGTTAGTGACTTCAAGCAAATTAGAATTTAAAGAATAAATAAAGTCATGAACTTTTGAAGAAATATATATTCCATTGAAAATTCAGCTGATAACAATGTATCTATTAAAGTCACCCCTTCAGATTATAATAAACAATTATATATGATATACAATTGAAATTGTATATTAGTCTATAACAAGAATCACATGTCAACAATGCAATGTAAATAAACAAATTTTTTTCTTTCCAGTTAATGATAACAAAAAAATTTATTTATACATTTGACATTGAATATCATCAACTAGATAGGTCTTTCATTTTTAATGGGCAAATATTGATCATAAACAAGGAATATATAGTTGAACTTATTGTGGGAAAAAAAAAATACTTGAATTATTGTATACCTATATTTCTCCTATTGGTAAGCTTTCATTCGGTATATACACTTATGTTCTTGAAGATATAACATTCTTCATAAGAAAAAAAAGACGCTCTATTCATTGGTTTATTAAGACATAGAGTAACAACCATTTTCATTAAAATGAATTTTAAATCATATAATCTTTGATTATTATTAAACACTCAAGTACCAGTTATAGATTCGTGTACATTGACTTTAAGAAATATTCTGAGTATGAAGACTGATGATATTACTAGGCTGACTGAACCGAAGTAAAGAGGAATTGAAACCTGAAACCAAGTTGTTGCAAAAATAACGCGTTGACCACTTAGTCGTTACTCCACTAATGATAACAGCATGGATTGCATATATAGCATGAAGCACACTTCGCACATCAAACTAGACAATAGTGCATGCACTGTTTTATATCCTTGTAGATCAGGTGTACCAAATTTTACATGGACACCATTTTATTTATTTTTCATTTGAACACAAACATTGGTACAAAGAGATACCAAAGATATACGCGCCACATAAATCATTCGATTTGTATGAGGGCTGGAATACTAACTGGGTGCCCGAACAGAAACAGGTGGTTTTCTTAAGGGGCCACACTCAGAGCCTTTGACCTAGAGGTCTAAGCCACAAGACAGTGAAAAAATGTTAGATGCGGTATCATGGTAGCCGGTTACCGACAACAGGTTCACACGCCATTTGTTTCCTTAGGATCCTGGACCTCACTTTCACCGTTGGTTTGGAATCAGGGTTTCCGAGCTCCGTTAGGTAAGTTCTCCGTATCCACCAACCCCGTTAAAGCGCCGGACATTCGCTTTTTGTCCTCTTAATTTCGTGAACAACACTCCCGCTGCGAGACACCATTAGAAAATCTTACGGGTCATGTACCCTGAACCTTGGACTTATCAACAAGGCGTACCTGCAATCTTGATGGGAATTATATTACCAGTAGTAAAAACATCCAATTTTTAGTTGACAAATAGCAGGTTTGAGACCCAATTCAACTAATTCTTTCTAATCACTCGAATATTATTAACAGTAAGATTAAATATGCTGCTAAAACATCGACTATATATTTATCTGTACTTAATTAGCAAGTTACAACTTTCCTAATAAACCCCAAAATTATGAGAATATCCTATAATATTAAACACATTCACTGCAGTAATTTAATTCATAATTAAACAGGATGATAAATAAGTAAGTGATTTTAAGAAATCTGCCAATACATCTCTGTTGAAATATGTTGTTGCGATTAACGAATTTAGGTCAGAAGACAATTTCATATAACGTGAGGTTAGTTAAATACAGTGAATTATTCTTTTTGTCTTATTCTGAACACGATATACTTTTAAGTAATTGATAGATATCTTTACTTAATGTTGATTAGTTTAAATAGACATAGATTACAATCATGAATATGTATATATATAGAAAGAGAGAAACACAAATAAAATCTCTTACTCTGGTAAATTTAATTGCAAATACACATCGATAAAAATTATCTTTTAGGAGTACACTCATAATAAGACGTAACATTTCTTGTCGAACAGCTGAACAAGTGAGAGAGAAAAAAAGATATATAAGAAGAACAAATAACAAAATAATTAGGGTAACAATTAATTGGGTTAAACAACAAGTAATGTAATATATTTATATATCGATCAATGAATGTATAGCAACTGTATACACTGTTAAAATAAGAGTACATGGTTTCAGAAAAACTGCTTCACTATTCGTATTTGGTGGTAGCATACAATTTTCAACTAGACAGTGACTCGAGAACGCTTAGATAGATAGAACCGAGTTTCCACCATAGGCGAGCTGTTGCATAAGTCGTTTCCCCCATTACTACTATTATTATTATTATTACACTACCTTACACTAATCTGTTCGTTATTGTTCCTTTTTTTCTCTTCGAATTCTCATTGTTTTGTGTGGCGCATATATATTTGGTGCCCTCTTGTATCAATATTTATGTGTTCAAATAAATAAATAAATAAAAATAAAATACGAAATGTAATAAATATACTACTGCCATGCAGATAGAATAAACTAGATTGTAAGAATATTTGAACACTAGTCTTGCAATTCCGATCCTAATATGAGTGGTTAGGAAGGAAATTATGAGTAAGTCATTCCATTATTCTATGAAATCTTTGATTCCTGGACTTAGCCATGTCAGTAGATGAAGACTTCGTGGTTAAGACCCATGTAACACTCGTAATAATTAGTTGGAGACTAAGAATGACATGAAGAGAAACTGGTTGCAGTGGTATAGTTCCATTAGTTCTATTTCTCTAATGGGCACTTCTAACTCATTGAACTCAAATAGTGCCAACTGTTGTTGATAATAATTTTACAACCATGCTTCTTCTTGCTATGAGGTATGGCATATCGCACTGATGGACAGTTTTGGCCGAATCCTATATTGTCTTTGGGTGACTGGAAGACCTTCAGAATACAGTACAGGTTATTTAAGCTTTTTAAGTTCCCAAAAAAATATGCTTGAATATTAAGGCTCGGGCCTTCTGTATAAACAATTGGATGATGTCAATATCTGTTACACCATGAGAAGTGGCTTGGAATTGAGAGTTAAATGTGTATGCTTATGTAGTTCTCCAACAATTGAACAACGACAAAACCATGCATCGAAAACCATTCCATATCCCAACCAAAACAAGTAAGTATTACTTACATCTCCATGTTAAACTATGACGTTCCAATATATGACTTAAAAATGAATCTTGTTCAACAATTTCCCCGGGGAGTAATATTGGCAATATATCATTTGATTGACTTGATTCACTAACATCGATACCATTCTTATTAGCTGGTAGATGACCCAAGATAGCATGACAAATAATCGGTCGTAAACTAGGTACTTGATCACAGAAACGACGTAACCAACGAATAAATAATGTGAAAAATACTTCCATTGAATAAACATCCGTATGTTGAGCTGCACAATTTATTGGACGTGTAGATAAACTTGTAGATGTACGCTGGAAAAAACAAGTGGAATACAACAGCGTGATCCGTGTTAAAACATATTATGATTCAATAAAATAGATAAAAGTTGATATGAAGTTGTTCTAGGGAATAGTATATGAAATAATTAAAAAGTGGAAGTACGAGACAATCTTATAAAAACTTTGTCATTTAAAATATTGAACATTAAATAATTATAATTCTTAAGTTTTATGAAAAGATAGTCTGGTGGTTAGTGTATTTTAACATTCTGATCAGTAGATTCAAGTCCTAGTTTACTTACATCGGTTTAGGTAAACGGGTACTATCAATAAACTTCATGTACGACAAGACCCGACCGCAACTGCTATCGTGGACTTGAATATTGTGGTGATACAATTGAGCTACACTGAATAAAACACATTTGTTAAGATCTTATCAAGGCAGACGGGTTGTTTGAGAGGTAATAAGATTAAAGATAGAAAGTCCAAGGCTCGAGGACAAGGCGGTGTTATCAACTGTACGGTGGTGTGATGGCAAGTAAACCACCATCTGCAGAAATGATGCCTTACTCAACCAAAGGAGAGTGCTGGTAAATGTCAGACACAAACGTTAGCACACCTCGTCTTGACATACGGATTGCCATCGCCTGAAGTAAGGTATGAAAAGTACGAAACCAACGCATGAGAAACTCACAGAAAGGTTTTGTACGACCGGTCTCATAGACTTGTCCACTGAGCTCGGTGATCATATGGTTGACAATATAAAACTCTTCATCAGTGTATATTTTCGGCAAATAAAATCGAACATTCAAGATCATGTTTTGCGGTAAGGATGATACACGTAAAAGTTTCGGAGTCCAACAGTTTACAATTTAACTGCAGCCAACCAGTCACTTGAACCTATCATGAAAATTGGAAGTTATACTGAAGATTGATCAATAACTATACTGATGTGTCTTCAAAATAACTTCCAACTAAAATCTTTCATGTTAGTAATTTAAACCCATTTTGTAATTATGATTTTTAACTATCACAGGTTGTAAATACCTAACGAGAACTAAGCGAAATAAAATGAGTTCATGCTATTCTTCTAAAATCTTTGGTTCTCGCTCACTTCAGGATTATACAGGGAATTATATGCATGATACATCCATCATGAGGAATAATATTTATAGAAGGTGCTTAGTGTCGAAGAGCAGAACTAACGAATCTAGTAAATCCATAGAAAGATTCACAAAGAAAACGAGATTAATTAATTCGCAAGTGGAAGAGATACAAACAATCAGCATAAAACATATATATTATGTATAACAAATGTCATCAGTAAATTAATGAAGTTAAAAATAGCCCCATTACGATTACTTACCATCAGAATTGATGCCAAATTAGACGCTTGTGAAGCGGTGAGGTTTGTTTGAAGAACTGCACGGCCATCACAATTAACAAGCACCGCATAATGTGTACCCTGCTGAGTTGTACAGTCCAGCACACGTCTTAACGTTTTGATAACCTAGAATTTGTTTGATGCAAAAAACAACAGTGAGTGTTAGGCCGTGTAATGAAAGTTAGCGTTGCTGAATAAAGTATTTTTGTTTAGAAAGAAAAAATACTTTAAAAATTACCTGCTCATAATTGTGATATTCATTGTTGTAAAGTAAAACTAAAAATGATCGAGAAGCTGCGGTTCGCTCAGAAGCTGTACGCATAGGTCGTGGAGGAAATAATCTAGGATGATACTTTCTAGCTCGTTCTAACTGAGCTAAACATCTGGCCTCTACATCCACAGCAGAACGACGTTTAGGAGCAGTTCTTGGCCAGGCGTCCTGCCCTAGCTTTGCAGCATCTTCACTAGGTGAGACAAGTGGGATATGCGATAAAGGAGGTGGCCAATTATCCCATGAGTTCTCATTATCCATCTTATAATCAACCACACCGTCATCTGTCGACCATAAATCAACAGTCGTCTGTTTTTCATCACCGTTTTCACTCAATGGACATTTTTCCTGATGCAGTCGACTACTCAAGGGTTCAGTTGATAGACGAGGTGTGCCCTGAAGAGGGATATTGAAAAATTCACTGAGATAACTATGGTGTGAATTATTGTAAAAACAATATACGATGAACAGTTGCAAAAGTGAATTATAAATAACAAACAACAAAGTCACATCAAACCAATTTTATATGGATTGCTAATATGTGAACAATTAGAACATAATTTACACTACAAGTGTTGTCTGCGAAAGACAAATAAGCATCACTCACCTCAAATCCAAACCACGGTAGATAGAATGTGTGAACTCGTATCTTACTGATTAAAAGCTGCTTGTTTAAACTAATCTGACTCACTTGATTACTGTATGAAAGATCAAATGGATAGGTTGTTATAATTCTAACATATATGAACAATCAACGATCTTGTGTGAGCACAAACAACTTTGAGCACAGACCTCTTGGTTAGACCTGATTAATGGCCAAATTTTTCGATCGTCGAGGCTGGGTAGTATTTCTCAAAAACTGGTTGCAGTAGCACAGTTATATAACATTTTTATTTGCCTCAAAACTTTCTAATTAAATTCTTTAATCTCAATAGTTCTGTTTCAATCGTTATTCTTATATCACGCTTACAGTGAATTTGATATTACTTTCACTGTGATGATGTGAGGTATGTTAGAACTGACTGACACCAGACTCTATGTTAACTATGGCTGGCTGATTATCTGTGAATGATGTCACAAGTCAAATCATAACTTTCAGTTACATATTGTAAACTGACACTAAAATGACAAAAACTGTAAGCCAGAACAAATATGTAGACCATTGTTTTCCATTAGGATAAGAAATAAAAGTCTTAGAAAACGTGTCGCTTGAAAATGATGTCATAAAAAGTAACTATGTATTTGGCAATCATTAAATATTACGTAATCTTACTTGAATTAAATCAGTAAGACAAAGAATCGCACTCTTTATTAAAGGTTTTAATAATTTCCCTGTACGCATAACAATATCACTTGGAAGACCATTAATTCGTCGACGGAGATTTCAAGTTCAGCTCGTAACTTTACATCTGTATTTTCAGTATCAGTAAGTTTGGATAAGTTGTTCTCTTCAGCTCCTTCACATTTTGATGTGTTTTTGTGAAGTTTACACCAAGCATCTGAACGCCAAGCTTCAGGATCTCCGCAATCACAATAGCCGACACCAATGGATGTGCTTATCTAAAAATGTAATATAATAAGTAGCTAAGAAAATGAAAATTGCTATATATTCGGTTTAGTCTAATCTGATTACGATATCAGTCACGGTAACCCAACGGTTTTTACTCAGAATTATAACATATTAGCAGTAGATAGCAAGGACAAAACACCACTAACCTCGTGATCATAATATGAGATTACTAAACAAAGATAAGCATTGATTATGATGCTATACTTGACCTGGGGATGCGTAAATAAACATTGAATGCATTCACTTGACGCCACAAAAATGACAGGTTGCGTCTTTTGTGAAACCTCCTACTTTAAAGCAATGGGTTTTTACAGACTTCTTAAAACCCTTTGAGGCAACCCAGTCTTATCCGCTGAATCGAAAGTCTGAGTAAGGGATATGAAACCTAGTGTTCGGAGCGTGCTTTCGAGTTAGAAGCTGTTGCTGCTTTTATCAGCTGGCAGAAGCTATTTCACTTCATCCAAGCCACTGGCAGCAAGAAGCCTAGAGTTGGTGAAACAACCTGCGAATTTGGTGGAGTGCCAATAAGTGACATTCAAAGACACTGAATGATGGGCAGTTCTCCGAGTAGCATTTCAGCTGGCCTGTTTTTCTACCAATATTAAACACTTTGTCCTGCAGTTGATGGACAGTGACGACAGATTCTCCAAATGAGGCGGAGGTCCACAAGGATATCAAATTCTTGAAACAGTACATGTCACAAGACTGGGTGTCGTACTCCTGGTTTTTTTAAGTATGATGGCGAACTTCTGGTTAGGCAATTGACTGAATTTTCTGGGAACACTCAAAAAAAAGTGTCCCTATATCACCTATACGACAACTATCGCGTGATTAGTCCACTTCTGATTGCGTCTAAATTAGTGGTTTATCATAATTCGTAGGTTGTTCGAAACCTAAGGAAGGTTGACACGCAAGGAACAGACTGGTTTTCGTTCTGGTCGAGTATGTATTGATTATATCTTAACCCTCCGCCAAATTTTAGAACACCACCATGCTCAAGGTAGGCCAATAATCGTTGTGTTTCTTGATAATAGGGTCGCCTTCGATTTGTTAGATAGGACTGTGTCATCGATAACATTCTCAGAACAGAAACCAATCGTGACCCTGCCGTAATATTGTCTTGCATTTTGCAGAACTGTGAGAGGAATTTCGTTAACTGAAACAGTTTTGTATCGCCTTCGCCGCATTGTTAGTTCAACTATCTCACCTATAATACATTATTTTTATCAACCATTCTATTTATTTATGTCTACTTCTTTCTCTTCAAATACACATCTTTTTCTTACCACTATGTCATCCATAATTTGTATGGAGCACTTCATTTTTGGGTGCCATGTTTTACCAGACTTTTGTGTGCTTTTCGTGACGTGAATCAGAATAGTACCAACGGTGCAGATCTATTCACTTTTCATATCCCTCTATACCTTGAATTCCAATATCCCTTCATAAATACATCCCCACGGTATGGTCCTTTTATCAATGCCACCATATCATTTCGATCTTTGTTGCCACTTCATCTCGTTGTGCCAATTTAATATGGCAAACTGGAAAAACTCACGGCATAAGATAAACAAGGTGAAAAAAAATTTGGTAGCCCGTTCAAGTGTTTGAGAACCTACTTTTTAATTGTCCAAATACTTAGATTAAACGACCTGTATTATATGTGCTTAAATTGAATGATCACGAATGGTAACTATCCATACTCAAGAGTTAGTATAGAAAGGTTTTAAACTATTGAAATGCCAAACAATATAAAACTTAAACAGGAACACCGCAATTCTTGGAGTATTTTACTTCTAATCTATCATCGGAAAAAATGAAAGGCAAGTAGATTGGAGTTTACAAACCTTACATATGATGAATGGAAAAATTAGCTGTAGCATCAAAATCGACAGAAAACTTTAATAACTGAATATGAATGCCCGACACTAACTGCTGAGAACATTTGTAAAATATGCTTTAGACAATTGCTATTTGCCTGCATATTAAAAAGATATTTGTTGTGATGTTGGACTATTGGTTATGAAAATTCTTTGCTGTAATAATTTTTATAGTATTGAATAAAGCTATTATAATCGTCATTATTATTAGCTTTTTAGTAAAAAAAATATCACACACATTTTAAATATCACCTAAAACTATGCTTAAAACGAATCTTTACGTAGGATAGAAGAATACTTTGAACACCAGATATTAGTTTATTTTAAGCTATTCAATTAGCTAATCATTGTTGATAGCATAATCTAGCTGAATGTAATTATTAGCCAAAAGTATATTTTCCCATCATCTATGACTCAGTTAAACGTACATCCTTTTTTGCATCTGACTGCGTTAATTGTGAAATTAAGGTATAAATGCAAGTTTAATATCACGATAGAATCCGTAATAAACCAACAATTGTTTGAAAAATCATTTAATATTTGGCTTCATATGCATAACAAAGAACGATCAGGAAGATTAAATGGAATTGATGAACTTAGTCTCTAAAAGGACATTAGTACATAATGTCACTTAAAATATTAAATGTCAGAGACTTTCAGACACAAGTTTGTAATCAACAAACTCTGTATTTTATTCAATGTCCGAAAATCAAAAACTTTTATAATTGATGAGATCCATGAGCAAAAATGTGTCTACGACATTGAGGACATTTATGCTGGTTCAAAATTTGGAAATTGCATTACCCAGTGCCGCTGTTTGAGCTCCAATATAGTTTTAAATATGTATAACAGGAAGACGACTTTTACTATGTAAGATTAGAACAACCAATAAGAGGAACTTCATTAAAAAGTAAGCTCATCTCAACTAAAAATTTCTTCCAATTGTCTAAATGAGAATTTTCACTGTATTTGGAAAATAACTTGCTATGAAGATTTGTGACATGATATTCGATATTTTTGCTACATTCTTTTTAAACCAATGCCTCAATTACAAAAGGGTAATTTCAGATCAAACATCAAAGTGTTTTGTTATTATACGTAAATGTAATCGGCGACGATATCGCTGATCCAACGACTTTATAATGGTAACAATGAAAAATACTTTTAAATCCTCCTGTTGTCGAATGGACCAACAAAACCCAAACATAAGGGTACTTTAACAATCGTATAAATATAGTCATTTAAGGTATTAAATATCTTATGCGATAGTGTATCCTACAAGTTATAAAAAACTAAAATTTGTAGCTTGTCGGATTAAATTTTTATTCCAGCTGACTACTGTTGTCATGGTTTTCAACCAGAATAATTTATACATCCAAATTGTTGTCCTCTTCTGTTCTTTGATTTTAATTTACTGTTCTCAGATTTTTTTTAGAACAATCTCGCTTACACTCCCTTTAAGTGTACGAAAACCACTGGATACAGTATCCTTTATAAAAATGTAACACCAACTAGTCGAACAAGTAGAGTTTGAATATCACGAGCCAGCTACTTCAGTTAGAGCACTCGAGTGATACCATTAATATTTATGCAAACAGTGTAGTTCATGGTTTAATATATATAACATTTATATTCACCTCTGTTATACAAACACCATAATAATGAAACGCTTGGAATATTAAAAAATACCAAAAAGAGATACTACCAATAACCTACTTTATAATTGTGTTTAATGTGAGCACTGTTGAAGAAACAGCCCCTGCATAACACACAGGTTGAGTCAATTGCACAATCCCTAGAATTTGAACAAAAATGGACAGTTTCTAGACAAAATTATTGTTGCATGAAAGTGAGTGCCGCAACACACAAAAATACGATGGGTAACAAAAATGTCGTTTGAATGGAACAATGGATAAAACTTGAAATTATCATGAAGAAGCAAAAGACTATGAGTCATAGTTGAGAAAAAGATTAAAAATATAAAAAAAATAGTTAATGAGTGAAACTTAAACATTGCTTGATATTCTTAGCAATCAAATCCTACCATAATATCGGTACTCTAAGCCCACAAAATACACAAAATTCACTAGGAAACAGTAACTATCCAAAATGACGTTACTAATAGTTGGAATAGCTGTGAACTCCATCCAAATGCTAGAGGACTTTACAAGTGAAGACCAAATCAAGCTATGAGAACTAAACCACGGGTTCGAGTGAACGAGTTTCACAAATCCTATAGAAATTCATCATCGCAAGGCAGTACTCTTTAATTATTTGATGGCATTTAATGGCACAGTCAAATAAATACACAAACATTTTGACCTGATGGAAAGATTTGGTTAAGCCACTTACGCAACAACACGGGTAAATTAACCTATCGACAGATCACAGCACAGTGTACGGAAAAAACTTACTTTAACTAGTAGCAGTTAAAATGTCAACACAAATCATCAAAACACAGATCACATAAAAAGAATTTGGAACAGCAGTGGTTAGGAATCAAATAACAGGCCTCTAAGGTGAATGTTACCAAGCACAGTTTCTCAAAATATCTGTCCATTACTAGCAAATTAAATTTTCCAAAAGCTTTGAAATTAGAGCCCAGCAACCCCATATAGCTTAGTCAGAAAATCGACTTATAAATTATTAGATAACTTTTATATCCTTGATCCGACATGTATGATCCACCATAGGTATATGTATATTAAGTTATTCCTTGCCAACTGTCTATTTGAAATTTTCAATACGTGGCCCAACCATCTCAGTTGATGAAGATTCACAACCTTATCAACTGATCTACCATCATTCCCTGATACCCTGCGTCTAACCTCACTATTACTTATCCGGTGATCCCAGCAGATGCGAACAATATTTCTAAGACATCTTTGGTCAAATACTAGTAGCTTACGAATATCTTTTACTCTAACACGCTAGAGGCATAAACTATGAACAGAGACAACAAACGATATCAATAACCATAGTACGTTCTTCAAAATCAAGTAAATGAACTCCGTTGAAGTATGAAAATCCTTCGGACTTTGCTAACATTTACTAGTTTAATTAAGTTCAGTATCAAATTTCGGGGATATAAATTCGCGTAAAACGTCGATATTACACTACATTAAGTAGCAAGCTCTTTTATCGCAAACGCAACGACAAATGCAGGAGAAAACGACCAGTGTAGCAGCAGCCTCAGCAGCAGTAGGTCACAGCATACACAAAGGGAAAAGCAAGATCCTCCGATACAACACAGCATGCACCAATCCAATCACACTTGACGGAGAAGATTTGGAAGATGTAAAAACCTTTACGTATTTGGGCAGCATCATTGATAAACACGGCAGATCTGATGCGGATGTGAAGGTGCGGATCGGAAAAGCAAAAGCGGTATATTCACAACTGAAGAACATCTGGAACTCAAAACAACTGTCAACCAATACCAAGGTCAGCATTTTCAATACAAATGTCAAGACAGTTCTACTGTATGGGGCGGAGGCCTGGAGAACTACGAATGCCATCATCCAGAAAATACAGGTGTTTATTAACAGTTGTCTATGCAAAATACTTCGGATCCGTTGGCCGGACACTATTAGCAACAACGTACTGTGGGAGAGAACAAACCAGATCCCAGCGGAGGAAGAAATTAGGAAGAAGCGTTGGAAGTGGATAGGACACACACTGAGGATAGCACCCAACTGCTTCACAAGACAAGCCCTCACATGGAATCCTCAAGGCCAAAGGAAAAGAGAAAGACCAAAGAACACATTACGCCGAGAAATGGTCATGCTTTATATTCAAAAAGCATCACTAAATATTCGATATCTGACGTGCAACATTTTCAACGGATAACAATGAAAGGTTAGCTGACAATTGTAAAGATGGGCTCAAAACAGACCTATTACTCTGGAATTTTTATCTTACGATTACCCCAATATTCGAAATCGATTCATGTGAACTTAGTCCTGGGACTACATTAGCGCTACTAAATGACTGCCAAACCACTGGCGATATTTTTGGTATGTAAATGAATCAGCCGTGAATCCAGAGGCTAGAAAGAAGCTATCATTGGCATGGATTTTAAAACATGTCAACAATATGGTACATGTGCTTGTCACTTAGCCTAACTACTACGATTGTTAGAATACTGTATGAGATCAGTTGTGTTAGTTAGGGACTATCTTGCTATTACCTTAGCTTGCTGCTTTTCAGGTAAGATAGGACCCTACACCAGTGCCAGTTGTAAGACAGTACATACGCAGTCTACATTTTTATTCTTACTAGTGAAGACTAAACGACGAGAGAAGCGAACAATAATGTCAGCCATAAGAAATAGAATAGTATCAAGACATCTTTACGTAGAAAAAATCCCAAGTCTCAGCCACGATTGTTGAGATTGCTCATCAATGTTAAATCCTGACTAGTATACTAACTAACTACGGTATATATGTCAGTGAGAAATTATTACCATCGTCCTGGACTTCAGAGTCGCATTACACACCCTACCAGTTCACACAGACAAGGTTGTAAAAAGCTCTGCTTTACTACCTGCAACAATAGGTTGGTTCATTGGCTTGAAATATTCGACCACATATACCCTGTTCACTCGGAGCTACAGATTGCAAATAAGCTTCAAGTTGATCGGCACATTCACCCGCATCTTGAGTTTTGATGAATTCCCTCCCAGCAATGAATAATTCAAAACTACGAAACAATGTCCGTTCTAAGGCAGCGTATTCTGATTTGCTCGACTCGAAGTCACTCTCACCAAATGGTTCGGCTGATATATTTTCCGAAGGTTTGAAAACTTGAGGAGTACATACTTCAAGAGCCTGTGTTCTAACTTCATCGAACAACAGACGCTCAAAACTTGCATCATCTGAAGACAGTAGAGTTTCTGTAAATTGCTGAAAATATCATAATTAAGACACAATTATTTGGAATTCTGCTAACCATTTAGAATCCGCCGTAACCACTATCCTTATAATTTGCGCTACCTAAAGACTCAATTCAGATGCACATTTGTGTAGTAAAATGGTCCAAATGGTTGTGAACGGAATAGAAGAAGCTTCCGCTTAACAGGCTTCCGTGTCTAGTGGCAGGGGATCACCTAAACCTCCAGGCAGGAACCTAGGTTGATAAAAGAGGAAAAGGACAGAAGTCCTATAGCCTATGTTATTCTTTTTATAGTATGATTCTGTGAGTGTCCAGTCTTCTCTTGAAAGAGTCAATTGAAGGTGCGGACACTACTGCTTCAGGCAACAGGTTCCAAGTATTGATGACTCGGTGTGAAAACCTGTATGCCACGGGTATTTTGTTCGTTCTTGGCTTTTCTACTCGCCTGCTATGTCCTCTGACGAGTCCCGATCTAGTGGAAAGAGAGAGAGAGGATAAGTTAGGTCCGAAATCATTTATCAGTATTCTGTACGTCAAAATCAGATCCCTCTTAATCTGTGATAGGATAGAGTAAAGAGTTCCAGCTTTCCAAACCGCTCTTTGTATGATAAACCCCGGAGTTCCGGAATTGCACGGGTAGCTGCCCTCTGTACTTTTTCTAGTATGTCCAAGTCACCTTTTAAGCAAGAACTTGCAGCCTGGACGCAGTTCTCTAGCTTAGTTCTAACTAAGGATGTGTATACTGTGGTGAACATGGTAGTATCTAACTTAGTGAATGTCCTTTTTAAAGCCCAGAGGGTCCGAAACCCCTTGGCTGCGACCTCCCGACAGTGGGCCGTCGTCTTAAGATCATTACTCACTGTCACCCCTAGATCCTTATGAGACCGGACTACGGATAATGACACATCCCCTATGTTGTACCTATTAACCTTTGAATCCCCCAAGTGCATGTAGACACACTTTCCTCGTTGATAGGCATCAGCCACTCTTTAGACCAGTTAATCATATTATTTAAGTCTACCTGAAGAGCACATGGAGTGCTTGGAATCTATTCTTACTTTCTGTCTACGACCTACTAATAAATCCTTAAGTCATTTTAAAAGAGGTCCGGCAATACCAACATTTTCTAACTCAAATAGCAGTCTACTTGTTGGCACCTTGACAAAAGCCTTACTGAAGTCTATGTAGACAAAATACACTAAGTTTCTGTTGTCTAGCCTCTTTAACCAAAACTCCCTTGCCCTAAAGAGGTTTGTTGTACAAGATAGACCCTTTCTAAAACCCTGTTGTTCTATGACTAGCAAGTTATTGGTTTCCATAAATGCCATTATGGTCCGTTTGGTTATTCTTTCCAATGTTTTAACTTACAGGCTTACAGGCTTACAGGTCTGTAGTTCCATGGAACCTTACTCGGTCCTGTTTTATGTATGGGAGTGACAATTGCGTTCTTCCAGTCCATAGGTAACACACCTTGGTCAAGTGAAATATTAAATATCACAGTCAGTGGGGCTGCAACATATTGTACAACATGTCTCAAGATTTCGAGGTGTAGTTCATCTGGTCCTGTTGACTCTTCCATGTCTACAAGTTATCTATACATCGTCCTGATCAAAGTCCACGGTGAGCAGGTGGTTTGTTGGCTGTTTATTTTGGTTTGGTTCTTTGTCTAGAAGAGGTTCCTGGATGAAAACTGCCCCCAAATCGTTAGCCAAAGCCTCTGCTCTTTCCTGATCTTCCTCTATCATTTCAAATTCACTCCCTGGTTTATTGAAGTTGGGAATCCAATAATGCATCCTTTTTCTGTAGTTGATGTACGAGAATATTATCTTGGGCTACCTGAGTGCAGACTGTGCCAGCTGCATTTCATATTTTCTTTGAGCTTCCCGAATTTTAGTTATACACTTGTTTCTTATCGATCTGTAGCGTTCCATCGTATCTGCATTTATTCATTTGTCTTAGTAAACGTCGAATATCCCGCCCTATCCAGGGATGTCCGTGCTCCTTTTTTTGGGACAGTCCAGGGTATGTATGTATGAGTTACTGGATTGTATAACTGTCCGAACAGAGTCCATGTCTCTTGTCTTGATGCCCTTGATTCAAGTTCCCAGTTTTCAGCCGATGCTGCGGAGTTGATTGCCTGCATATCTGCCTTTCATATATTAGGACGGGCCGGTGCAACTGTTAAATAGGCAATCTCAACCATGAACTTGAAAAAGATGACTGCATGGTCACTTCTCCCTATAAGTGGGAGAAAAGTCATATAGCCAACGTCATCACCGTGTGTGAAGACTAAATCTAAAAGAGAAGAGTTTCTTAATTCATATCTTGTGGGGTTTCTAATGTGTTGGAATAAAGCTAATTCAATCGAAGTTTCTAATAGTTTGCAATCGAACGACGTTTTCGATTACCCTAATTCTAAGTTAACCTAGTTTATATACGGCGCATTAAAGTCGTCTACTACAAGGCTTTTATCCTCGTTACACCAGGACTTAATTTTACTGTAGCGGTAAATAAATCCCTAAAATAAATAGCTCTGTAAGTTTTCGACATTGGATGCTGACTATATGTTTTAGTGGACTCATCTAGCTGAAGGCGCTCGGTCAGGCATCCGCACCAGATCACGTGTAGTAACGCCGTGCTCAACATCAACCACAATCGCTAGCCAGATTAGATCAGAGAATCCCGATATATTGGTAATCGCCAAATATACTCTTCCGATCTTCTCGACTCTGTCTTTTGATTTCTCTTGGTGGGAACGAAATACATAAGAAGGTGTTACTGGTAGAAACGTTGTCAAACACTGAATACCTGTGACATCAACATTGGTGAGACCGTCGTGATCTGGTACACCTTATTGCAACTGTGAGTCTGTTCCTTTTTGCGATTTTTATATATCATTGCCTAATTTTTTATTTTTTTTTTAAACATTGTGATTTTTTTCGTGTTTTTCTTGGATATATATATATATTTTCCCCTCGTTCATTATCGTACTTCATAGTTCATCATGACTGAACAGACACTTAAAGTGCTCAAGCTTAAGACCTTGTCCCCACCTTCGTTTCAACTGATGCCTTTCTGGCCCGACAACATCGAAGCCTGGTTTTGCTACGCAGAAGCCGACTTCTCCGAGCACGGCGTGATCGACACACGTGCACAATTCCTCGCAGTAGTCAAGGCACTGCCGCGCGAATTCAACAGGTACGTAACACCTAGTATGTTTACTAGTGATGTTTCCGAACCTTACGGAATCTTAAAACGCTCGATTCTCAAACGAGGAGACCTAACCGATCGACAAAGGTTAGATCAACTCTTCAATAACATCAACCTGCAACACGGTTCTGCGACGGACATGTTGCAACGGATGAGAGAGGTTATAGGCCCAAGAACTTTCGACGAAGGTCTATTCAAACAACTCTTCTTGTCTAAACTTCCCCAACAGGTGCAAGCAGTTCTGGTCTCGTTCCAGAACAACGCCTTAGATGAACTAGCTGTATCTGCCGACCGCATTCTAGAAATTACGAAACCTTCTACTACCGAGGTATTTTCAGTCAAAGAAAAGCCTCACACGACTCAGAATGACATAACCGACTTATGTCACACACTCACGCGTTATCTTAGTCTTCGTACCGACCGTAAGAGATCGCGCACACTACGTAGAAGCATTTCTCGTAAGCGATCTGTCTCTAGACCACGAGAGACAGATAAACCCGACTGGTGCTGGTATCATAACCAGTATGGAAAGTTTTCCAGAAATTGCAGAAAACCCTGCAATTTTCCCAACACGAAACCGAGTGACTCGAAAACAACTCGGGAAACTTCCAAGCCGGCACGCGTTAACGGCAACTGTAGCCGGAAAACATAGGTGTCTGTTATGCGTCACAGATGTGACAACGAGAGTTCGCTACCCCGTCGACACTGGCGCAGACGTTAGCGTTCTCCCAGCAAATCCTAACGACTGGCTTAACGAATCGGCTCGAAACTTACAAGCGGCAAACGGAAAACCGATCGCTACGCAGGTAAGTTCCTGTCTACCTGATCAGAGGGCCACATCATGAAATGCTAAATTATACCCATAAAGTTCTGTTCTGAGGCAGCATGAGTTCGTCACTCTCAAAGAGTGCTTCGTAAAATTTTGGAGATCAGTACTCACCATTGGTACCACTTCACTGAATTAGCTCGGGTTTTTCAAGACCCACAAGGTAGAAAACCGTATCCCGATTCAGTTACGGAGAAATTCGTTGGAAACGCTACCCACCATCACTGCTCTAGAATGCAAAGAAACTGGTGGTTGGGTGAACTGCTTCAACTTGTCGCCTATTATCTACTGACACATCTATCCCTATTTTCAAACAGGTGTGGGTTTGTTCTTCACCAAGGAACACTTGAAGAGAGTAACAAGAAGGAAGTAACAAATTACTTTGAAAACAGAATCATCAGTTTGATGTCTCAAAAATAACACTTTGTTACCCATAACACAGAGCCTACTCTACTGCATTTCTCTCCTCACTTGACCCCGCTCTCAAAAACTAATATAACCTAGTTTTATTCAACTCAGAAAGCACTTTGCGAGTACAACAACCAGATCATGGCCGACTATTCATCCTATTCTGAGGACTGACAGAGCTCTTATCACCACATTTTGGTTAACTGTTGAGATTAATCGCTCAGAAATCATGACAGTGTAGCGGTAAATAAATCCCCAAAATAAATAGCCCTGTAAGTTTTCGACATTGGATGCTGACCATATGTTTTAGTGGACTCATCAAGCTGAAGGCGCTCGGTCAGGCATCCACACCAGATCAGGTGTGGTAACGCCGTGCTCAACATCAACCGTAATCGCTCACACAGCCCACGTAGAAGCATTTCACGTAAGCGATCTGTCTCTAGACCACGAGAGACAGATAACCCCGACTGGTGCTGGTATCATAACCAGTATGGAAAGTTTTCCAGAAATTGCAGAAAACCCTGCAATTTTCCCAACACGAAACCGACTGACTCGAAAAACAATTCGGGAAACTTCCAAGCCGGCACGCGTTAACGGCAACCGTAGCCGGCGAACA